CAGGTGGATTTGGATCCCAAGGACAAGGAAAAGACCGCATTCTCAACTGGGAAGGGACTCTGGCAATTTAAGGTGATGCCATTTGGATTATGCAATGCACCGGCAACCTTTGAGCGTTTGATGGAACAGGTGCTGGTGGGACTGCTGGGCGAAACCTGCCTAGTTTACCTCGATGACATCATCATTGTTGGACGGGATTTTGACGATCATCTAAGGAAATTGGAAAAGGTACTCGACAAGCTGCGTGGAGCAAATTTAAAGTTGAGTCCAAAGAAATGCTCTTTCTTCAAGCGCGAAGTGAATTATCTAGGACATGTTATTTCTGAGAGAGGAATTGAGACTGATCCAGCCAAGACTGTCGCTGTTAAGGAATGGCCAACACCTAAAGACAAAACGCAAGTTCGGGCATTTCTTGGATTGTGCTCGTATTATCGGCGGTTTGTGAAAGGATTCTCGGACATTGCCAAGCCTTTGCATCGATTGACAGAGGAGAAACGTGCCTTTATCTGGGACGAGGATTGTGAGCAAGCCTTTCGAGACCTAAAAGAACGGCTTTGTAACACACCAATTCTCGGATACCCCAGCGCGAAAGGAATATTCGTAGTTGATACGGATGCCAGCAATATTGGAATAGGAGGTGTCCTTTCACAACGCGATGGTGAGCAGGAGAAGGTTATTGCTTACTTCAGCAAGTCACTATCGAAGCCGGAGAGGAATTATTGCGTGACCAGGAGGGAATTACTGGCCGTAGTCAAAACCCTGCACCATTTCAAGAAGTATTTACTGGGACGGAAATTTTTGATCAGAACTGATCACGCTGCTTTGAAATGGCTGCTTCAGTTTAAGGATCCCGAAGGCCAAGTAGCCAGATGGTTGGAACAACTTCAGGAATTTGACTTTGAAATCGAACATCGCGGCGGAAGAATTCATGGCAACGCAGATGCATTATCGAGACGCCCATGCGTGGAGGATTGCAAGCATTGTGCCAAGAAGGAAATTGCTTTTCTTAAGGTGATAAGGACTGATACTGTTGACGAGGCATGGGGAGATGATGCGATGAAATTAGAACAGGAAAGAGATGCAGATATCAAACCAATACTGGAGTGGCTACGAAGTGGTAACAAGCCAAGTTGGAGTGACGTCGCCCAATATAGCGCAGTAACGAAAGGTTTATGGGCACAGTGGAAAAGCCTTACGCTGCATAATGGACTTCTGTGCAGAAAATGGGAATCAACAAACGGCAAGGACGAGCATTTGCAATTGGTGGTACCTCGTTCAAAAATAAGGGATGTATTAAAAGCGTTCCATGATGGATCTTCTGGAGGACATTTGGGGATTAGGAGGACTTTGGTGAAGATCAAGGAGAGGTTTTATTGGTTGCATTGCAAATATGACGTCGAAGATTGGTGCCGGAAATGCACTAGTTGTGCAGCTGTCAAGGGTCCACAAACAAGGAGCAGGGGGGCGATGAAAATCTACAATGTTGGTATGCCTTGGGAGAGAATAGCCTTAGACATCGCTGGACCATTTCCAATCACTGATTCGGGCAATCGCTACGTTTTAGTGGTTATGGATTATTTTACAAAATGGCCGGAGGTCTTTGCTATACCGAATCAAGAGGCAGTAACTGTAGCGACGAAGTTGGTAAACGAGGTATTCACCCGATTCGGAGTGCCCTTGGAGATGCACAGTGATCAAGGACGGAACTTTGAATCCCAAGTTTTCCAGGAAACTTGTAAACTTTTGGGAATCCATAAGACTCGAACGACCCCTTATCATCCACAGTCAGATGGAATGGTCGAACGCTTCAACCAAACATTGGAGCGACACTTAGCAAAGGTGGTTGACAGCCATCAGAGAGATTGGGACACTTACATACCTCTCTTCTTGCTTGCCTATCGGACTGCTGTACATGAAAGTACCGCAAAGACGCCTGCATTTGCAAATTTTGGAAGGGAATTGAGATTACCGGCAGATCTTGTATCGGGCTGTCCACCTGGTGATTCTCGCACCGAGTTTAGCGATTACATAAGCGAGTTAAGGGCAAAAATGTTGGACATTTATGAGCAGATCAGGGAGGCCGGTCTTCAAGCTAGTGATCGCGCAAAGACGCGCTATGATCGACGAGCCAATTCTGTTGGGTTTGAAGAGGGGTCATTGGTCTGGCTTCATAATCCAGTCAGAAGGAAGGGAAAATCTCCAAAGCTGCAACCGAGTTGGGAAGGTCCTTACGAGATAGTCACGAAGATCAATGACATTACTTACAGAATTCGGAAGTCTTCAAGGAGCCCTTTGAAAGTTGTCCATATAGACAGGTTGGCGAGGTATTACGGCAGCAACGATGCTCGGGACGAGCGAATCTAAGAGGGGGGCAGTGTGACAGAAAACTCTTTGACATCATGACGTCAATGGATGGTTGTCAAACGTTGCCTAGAGATTGTAAATTTCGTCGTGAATTGTCAACACGAGTTGGTGTAATCGGTAAGGCGTGTGGATTACACCACAGAGACCCCGAGTTCGAGTCCCGCCGTAAACATGAAGTTTTTAGTTGATGGAAGTTTTGTCGAACTTTCTGGAATATTTGAGTGAAAGTGATGAAAAATTAAGGAGCGAGAAGGAGAATAAATAAAAATGAATAACGAAATTATTGGAAGGTTCTGGAGGCATGACGATCAAAAAGAATAACGAAATTGAATGTTCTAGAACCTGACCGGGGGTATATAAGCGGAACTGCGGCTCACCGCTGGCAGTTGTGTTCTAAGTCTAAAGCGATTCGGAAGAAAAGGAAGAAGTGAAAAAGAAGAAAAGTGAGTGAAATAGTGAAGTGCAGTGAAATAGTGAAGTGCAGTCAGTTAAGTGAGTTAAGCCAGCGTGAACGGCAAAGTTGTGTCAGTCGGCCGGGCTCTGCTGGAGAGGAACGCCGATAACTTAACTCCGTGGACGCTGTAACTTAAGTGCAATAGAAAGTCTGAAAACCGGTATTAGTGTTTCATTTCATCCAATCCCGTTACCCAAGCCCGCATAGTCAGGAACGTGACGTCAGGCACGTAACAATATCTATTCTGGACCTGGGGTTAGTCTTTACTGATACACCAAACACTGACCGCCCAGGACAGTCCGTGTTTAGAATTTTCGCAAGATATGAAACTCAAAACAATGGTAGTTTAATAAACTCCGAGAATCTTAAGATCTTAAAAGCACGTAGGATCCCGTCGTGAATTGCACGACACGGCAGACAGTTGTGCGTGATGTTAATATCTGATTAGGAAATATTCGCTTCATTTCTACATGGAGTCTCTTCGGATCTCTCTCAGTAGGATCTTTGGAGTGATACCACGGCTTCACAGAATACCGGCGTGAAACAACCACAGCGTTGTGTTTCACCATGTGAGTGAATTTACCGGAAAATCCTGCCCCTTCCACTATCCTTTCCCGATCCTTATATCCGCAACCCCTATCCCCAAAAGGTCGGCAACGCACTCGTAACTCCTTTGGTGTTGCGGGTGTCCATGGGCGGCGCTGATTGCTTACCATCAGGTTATCCGTCTGCTCGTTTGCTGACTTATGCCATAAAAAACATATAACATCGATTTCAACATAAAATATTTATTTTCTCAAACCCGAGCTAGGCATTAGTTTTTAACGTGCTACTGAATAATATTTAGTTACCTAGAGCAATTCTAAAACTCAGTAAAGATACACGGTCAAGGAGTTTTCCTTTTAAAACAAAGAAACGTGATATTTGCAAGGATTTCCTCATACAAGTGGACGGGGCGATAAAAAGGACGAGACTAGACAAATGGCTTTACCTACTAAGTAACTTCGTCATTAAGACTTACCTTTAAGGAAACCAAGTTTTAATGGAAAACACATTAATTAAAGTGCTTCCGAAAAGACGTCTCTATTTTGATGGCGAATCGTCTTAGCTGTTTCCTTTGTTGTTTGCAAAGGTTATTGAACCTTTCCTGCCCTTTTCTTGAGCTACTGGGGGTCGGTGCAACATGCTTTCGCTTTCCCCTATCAAAACACGTAATTCGAAACTCCCATTTTATTAAATCTATAATAATACACACGAATTATCTATCATTGAAATTGTTTTGCAAAGTTCTTGCAAAACACGTCTTTAACATGCCATAAAAATTGTCTTTATCTGTTTATATTTATCCAAGTTCAAAAGCGAATGTTAACATAGTCTTATTTCGTGTATTTAAGGATTAAGATAAAAAAGATGTACAAACAAATACGATGCAAGAAACACAAAGAGAATTCCTTACTAATGCGCTGTTTTCTCTCTAGGATTCAGTATTGTTATTCCGTTTTGGGCATGTATGAATGAATGAATATATTTATAGTGGTAGATATATTGTGTGAAATTAGCATTGTTATTGTCTATACATGGCTTTAGTATCTATTTAGACTTGTTTACTCAAATATAAGTGGTTTCGTCTCTCTGTTTTCCTGAATGTTATGTAGGTATGTACCTACCTAATATGGATTTTCTACATATATATTATGACATGGTTATTGTGCCAACTGGTTAATGTTCCATCCGTGCTCGAAAGTTTATACTTTCTCCGGTCGTTAAATATTTTAATTGCAATAAAACTGTCGGTTCAGTTGCTATCAGTATAGTCTAATGCGGGCATTTTGTTCTACATAAACTGTTTAATTTATTATTTTATAGTTTTTAATTTGACTGACTGATATTCCTGGGCTGCATTTTTAGTGAACGCCTAGAATCTAACTACTTAATTTCCTTGAGGTAGGCAATGGTAGGCAGTGCGTGAGGTGTTCTATACAAAGTATAAAAGTGAGACCTAGTTCAGTACTTAATAATATATTTGTAAATAATAACTTCGTTCATAAAGTTACGCAACTAAGCTTTGGATTATGTTAGTTCCTACAAGCTCGTACGGTTAAGGTCGCAGTAACAGTGCGTTACGTAGGTATTCCTGGTCCGTATGGTGAAATGAAGCTATTAGCGGAGACTGTGTGACACGCCATAAAGCCATCAGAGGAGTTGGCAGCGCGCCACAGGCGAATAGTGACAGAAACGAAGCCCGTGAGTCAGCGGTACGCGGAACCTGTGTGCGGCGGCGCGATCGATAGACACTGCACCCCGCGCGCCGCCCCCGCCTGCACCTGCCGCCACCACACAGCCCGGCTCCTCGCCGCCGCCGACACACCACAAAAACACGAGAAAATTCCTAATAATCAACGGCAACATTAAACAGTGCTTTGATCCAAGTCAATTTTAGTATTTACCCATAACCAGTTCAGTGGTTCAAGGTCGGGACGGTCGACGACCCCGGTTAAGTTTAGGTGAAACGTCTACCTCATACAGTATCGGCTGGAACGCCGCTGTTATTATTTGTGTTCATCTGTGAAATTTTATTTTTAATTATTACGTGTAGTGGGCAAGGTCGTGGTGCGTTTGCTGTGCACAAATGTTGAATCTTTATCATTGGAGGCACGCGCGTGCTCCGCGGCGGTACACAACAAAGGCGGTTGCGCCAGTCGCTCTTCGCTGACTTGCTACTCCCTCGGTCCGTGGATGTGATTGAGTCTGGTCTGCAGCCATGGCGTCTAAAGTCCTGGTGCCAGCTGCCCCGTTCACGAAGCTCCAAGTAAGTGGATCATTTATTATTCTGCGTCGGATGTTCTCTCTCATGTCACCAGCTCTGATTTTGCGTCGGAAATAGATATCCTGCCAGATTCCCATCTGTTTTCATTCGTCTTCCCGCAGCTCGTGTCGATTGCTATGTTTATATGTAAGTGTCCAATATAAATAATGAAAAGTGCCAAGTCATGGAACACAAAGAACCTTCCGGTCATTGACATTGTAGGAAAACCAATTATGTGTATCAGATGGGCTTTTCCCATCGCCTGGCTATGGGAAATCGTTACTGATTATTAGGGTTATTTAAATGCAATTAACTGCTTCCGTACATTGTGCCGAGGTACATTAGTTATTTATCTGAACAAAGGGTTGCGTTGTTTCTGTCTATGGATAGCTATCTTCTAGTTTCTTCGATTTGTACATACCTATGTAGGTTCTGTGCATTTAACTTTGATTGATTATTTCATGAATGAAACATGGTTTATTTGTAGTACGAAGACGCTACATACCAGTCTACATGTTCTATAAGAGTCTCGGTTGATGTTCAGCATATAAAGTTATTAAACTAAGATTTAAAATTTTGTATCCATCTAACATATTAAGAGAAATCCCTTTCAATCCCAAAGACCAATCAATTAACGTTGATAACATACTTTTACTTTGAGAACGACGAATGACTATTCACCACTGATCTTACGATCTTCAGGTGAAGAAGTCAGCTCCGGAGCCGACAGGCGGCGGGTTCATCATTGGAGGTGACCCGGTCGCCAGAGTCGCCCACCTGGAGCACAGCGTCAGGTTCCTACAGGAACAGCACCGGCAGATGCTGAGCGGTCTACATGCGGAAATCGAAGCCTTGAGAGAGAGGAACAGAGGTAAGAAGGAACTTGGTCATAAGGTCCTCAGTGAACCTAAACTTAAAGGAGTAACTCGTTTTTTTCTATCCGAATCTACACTTTGGAACGAGCACCTATCGTCACGGACGTACAGTCTGTCGACTTTTATTCTATTTTGACGTCTCAAAAGTATCTGTTTAGTGTTTAGTTGGCATAATTGATTTTGACTTTGACTTTGACTAACAATCTAGGATCTGAGTGATTGCCGTGTTTAGCAGTTGATGTCTTATGGCTGAAGTTAAGAGGATGATAGTGAAGAGGTTTTTGTAACAGTGTAATGCTCTGGCTCTGATGCCCAAGCTTAAAGGATTGAATTCCGAATTCGTCAGTGTGGAAATACTAATATTTAAAAAATGATTGTTTGTATGTCTCAATGGAATACGTGATCGATTGAAAAATCTTTAACTGCTGGGAAGCTAAGCAATCCCTGGTGAACATAGGCATTAATTTACGCTAGTGAAACAAGAACAAAAAAATTGTCTATGTCATTAATAAAAACAAAAAGATTGGCCAGTTATGTTTTAGAACTCATTTGAATTCAACTACTTCAGAATAATTTCATAATGGCAATACTGCAGTATACCTAACTACTGTTCGTGTATACTTAGCTGTAGATAGATAGGTAATATATTATGACGACCACCCACAAATATGGTGCGTATAAGGTCAGGCAGGATAACTGGCTTATAACGAGGAAAATTATTATACCTTTGCACTTTATGATTGTGTGGATAGCCAGTTAGCCTCCGTTGAGTACATTAAAACAATATTCGGCATGCAACTGAAGTATGCTCTAAATATTCGAAGGCTATAATGTGTTTAATTGGAGAATTACTGGAAGGTATGCACGAAGGGTTGCGAAATTCTCAGTCATTAAGCTAGGTGAAGAAATTTTACTGTTAATTTATTTTATAACCACTATATTGTAGGATTTATTACATTTCATTATATAGGTACAGTCTGCATCAAATATATTGGTACAAAAGTATATTAGAAACCAAAACACCAAAATATCGGTACAAGCAAGGTTACCAAATATATGGGATTTTTGAACGCTTGCAATACTGTACCATTGACAGTTGAACTCTACCAATATGTAAGGTATGACACTTTGAGTGAACCTATGGACTTATAAGATGATTTGCTGTACCGTGGTTTGATGCGTATACATATATGTATAATTGAATATACTATTCTAGCTTCTGTCCTCGCGTTATGTTAAAAAAAGTCTGTGTATTAATCTACATACCGCAACCAAAAACAAAAAAAAAACCAGGCGTTTTGCGTGAAATAATAACAAACATACATTCTCACGAATATTCACATATATAACTTATATTTATATATATTTAATAATATAAGTTAGTAGGATTTAACGCTGACTGCAGCTACATAATTTTATAGTAGGTACGTGAAGTATTTATTTACTATAGTATAGTGTTGTAGATATATCGACGGTTGGTACTCGTTTTAGCCGAAGATTCCCACTTGTTCACGTTTACAACTTTGACTCGTACGTAGTATTGTAGGTACGTTGCCCTTAAGACATAAGAGATGGTACGGAAACAATGTCGTTAACTGGTTGTGCCTTGTATGCGATTGTCAGTGACCTCTTATTAGTCATTTAAGTGCCAGTTTACTAAGTACTTATTTTTCAAAATCTTTTTTTGAGGGAGAAATCATCATTTACTTTTACTACCCTGGGTGGCGTGATAGGAAATCCTGCCCCGGCAGATGCAGCATTAGGTTATTGTGTTTGCACCAGCTGCGCATCAGCCTTACAAGAAAGAAAGAATAACCATTTATTTCTGCGCAGAACAATTACACAAAATAATAATACATTGATATGGAAAGCGAAGGTAAACAGCGTCAAAATAACAAAAACAAAAACTGAGAATACTAGGTCCCAATTCAAATCAAGTTCTGTCTATGGTCCACATAAACAGATTGGTCTATTGGTCCCTTTTTAATGTGACAGTGTGATGAAGATGATGGCCGAAGTTTGGCTCTCCTACACTTCCTGGTAATTAATGTAACACCCAACTTCACCATTTTGCCATCATTCAACATACGAAGTCGTATCTCACATTAAAACATAAATTCATTTCAAATTTTAATGATCCATAAGTAACGCCTAAAACCTTTTCAGATTTGCAGTTCCAGTTGATATTCAACAAGGAATCGTCACCTAAAGCTACTTCTCCACCAGCTGAAGAAAACACCGAAAACAATGAGGTAACAATTATTATTATTAAGAGTAGGCAACCTTATTTCATAGTCTGATGCGCTCAGCAATTAGTGTAACAAAACTTAATTCAAAAACCTAGCAAAGTCAGTTACGTAAACTGGGAAAAGTTGTCTACAAGTAAAAGTACATTATCGTGCGAAGATGCTATTAGCTGAAAATGTTTGGTGGGCTATACCACGAATAGAATCGAAACGACCTGGTGATTTGGAAACCGACGCCATCAAGTCGCTTTATTGCAAAATAGTTTTGAATAAGAAATTGATTGTAGAAGACTAATAGAATTAATTAATTTGTTCTGATTAGAAATATACCTATGAGTATATGTAATATGTAATGGGTATTTTTCTTAGATTTCTGATGACAGTCAATCATTTTAATTTACTTTGATTTGTTATTTCTCCTTTTATCGCATTTGCTTTGTATCATGATATTCTTTAAACTGTTAACTAGGCTAAGCTGAAGCGCGAGGTGACTCGCCTGGAGCAAGAGGCGTCCGCTGCCCGCAGCGAGGCGAAGGCTGCAGAAGCCCGAGCGCTGCAACTGCAGCTGCTCGTAGACGCGCAAACTGAGTACGTGAATACTTTGTATTAGCAACCTGCAACCTTTAATAACCTTGGTCAAAATTTGAACGTGTGTTGAATCTGTATTAAAGATATAGTTTTATTTGTTTAACTACTAACTAACCTTCTCGGTGTCCTAATCGAAGTTTGTCAATTAGCTGGACGGTGGGAGTTACTTAGGTGTTTAGAGTGTTTAACTGTAACGAGATTGCGTACCGTGTGCGGGACAGAAAGCTGCGTGCGCTGGAGGTGTGTTCGTGCGGCGCGGGCGAGGGCGCGTGTGCGCCGGAGAGCCGCGCGGAGCTGCGCGCGCGGCTGGGCGAGGCGGAGCGCCTGGTGCGCCGCCTGCGCGCCGACGCCGAGCGCCAGCGCAGAGAGGTACACGCGGCCGCCGGCCGGGACCCCGCCGCCGGGGGCGCCGTCACTAACCTCTTGTTCGACGGCGTGGCCGCGCGTCACGCTCACGTACGTGTCGCCGGGTCGCCGCCACTAGTCGCGCACCGCCATACCTCATATACTCCTCTACAAACACCTACTTAAGTCTCCTAATCCTGACAAGCAAACATTCGAGAACCAATACAATATACTCAGTTTGCTATTTCTATTCAAACGTGCATATCTATCCAATATCGTTATACTGATCGTAGTTGATCTGTCCCAAGGAGTATAAGATATGGTTGTGTCGTTGAGACTCGGCGTAGTTGCCAGTTGGCGCGCCGACGTGGACGGGAACGCGTCACGCATACAGTACCCCAGCCAGGGAATTACGAAGGCAATATTCAAACACTGCATAGGATATGGGAGACATTATTTACTTTTCCGACAACTCTAGGTTACAAAAGTACTTAGAAAATGATCCAAAATCAATTAACTTGGGGAAGATTCTATATGCCTGCCAAAATGGCGGACTCTGCAGTATTGTTAGAAGGTAACACCACAAGGGACAGGCCTTAGTATTCTCTGGCTGCGGTAGCACACAGTTTTTACTAATCTCTAGTTTATGCACAATAACTATCCGCGAGTGATGTTTTAGTTTTATACTAACCCCGCATGTGCTGCATCTTTGTTTGTCCCGTCCTCGTATGCGCTTATGAAGATTTTAGTTGTTAATTTGGTTTAAGTAGTTCTGGGAGAAGGTTGCTGGTCAAATTGTAAACTATATTACAAGAACAAGCAGCCTTTGACCAGTTTTCGGAGTGACGAACTCAACATGAGCTTCCTCCTCCTCATTACCAGGTTTGATAATGAGGATCACGATCAGCGACAATCGGTGATGTCAAGAAAACCTCCTGGAGAGTTCGCCACCCTTCTACGACTAATTTACAGATATTTTAGACAAATCATACTCAACCGAGAACTGTTTCTTTTAAACGTTATTCGTTTCAAAATTAATTGACACTAGCCTTTTGGCACTTAAAAATTTGTAGCAGGTCTTCTCAATAACAAAGTGTTGATAGCTAGAGTAATTAAAGTATTTATAAAGCACAAGTTGGTGTGAAATGCAAAATCTTGCACAGATTTCCTTGATTTGACACACTTGCACATTTTGGTGGTGGGTTTTTCAGCACCCGTGTTTGACATAGCTATTGTCCAAGTGTCTATAGCTGGCGATACAAGAGATTTATAATACGGTAGTTTCCAACTAGTCAAATTCAATACTTTTATCCAAATGTCAAATACGATACTTTTCTGTTTGTATGAAAAACTGAGTTATGACGTTATAGTTTCGTTGCGTCAAATAGCGTAATTATTTCTTAAAAATTAGCTTAAAAACGTCGAATTAATTTATTTTTGACCTAGGAAACTACCCAATTCTGTGAACTGTCTCTGAACTACCCTCTATGACTTTTTTTCTGATTGTGACAATAAAATCGATTTTCTATAATAAAACTGTCTCCAAAAGTGAACATTATCATAAAACTTGGAATCTGCTTCTACAGTCTTTATAAGATAAGTTATCCAGCCTGTTTGCCCACAGTTACAGTGTATGAAAAATTCCCTGCACGCCAGTTTGCGCGCCAGCGGGCTGGACGCGTACGGGTATCAGAACAACTACCACTTCCCACCAGTACACACGCCTGACTTCTGGCGAGAGCCGCTCAGAGAGTAAGTAGTAGTCTTTTCTCTGTATTTTATTCCATTTATTTGGTAACGAAAACCTCATCCTTCTTATAAAAAAAACAATGTCTGTTTATCTTTAGTCTAGGTTTAACCATTGTGTTCGGTTTACACCTTGACTGGATACTGATTGATACACTAATAACTTTGGTTGATATTTATTGATAAAAGTATAATTGTATGATAGATGAGTGCACGGTGAATGATTGCTATTTGTGTACTAAATTCCTCGGCCCAGCGCAGGTAAAATGCCGACTTCATTTGATGCATGAAATTGACACAGATATGAAAACTGTGCTGTGCTTGTAGACATTGTGTCAGGTTTTGTATTTTGAATCTTATTTGCACTAAGGTACTTTCAATTTGAAATACAAAAAGTGGCTCAACTAAAAAAACACCTTGTTTAAACAAAGGCCGTATTTGTTCTGTAATAAAAGCTGAAGCATGGTGTTACTGGAGATTAATAATTAATAGAATCTTGAATAATATTGAGTAATCAGATGAGCAAAATTTCTGTTTCATTATTTATTTCAAAACATTAATGTCGGTAGTAGTTTAGGTAGGCGGCACCAAATGACTGGACTATAAACCCTGAGGTATCTAATAATACATATATTTATTATATTAAACTCGTATTTATTTGTATCCCTATAAGCCTAAGTGGTCGACCAGTATCAACTTCTATGTTTTCCGGTAGCTATAGCCTTGGAATCTTCAAGTCTCGAGCTAACACTTTACTCCTAGGCAAGCCGTCACTATCGCCTCAACCATCGGTAGACTTCAGGTGATTAACTTTCCTTTGTGCAATGACCAGCGTCACTGAACAGACTGAACACTACAGCTTAATAATTTATATTTTATATTGCAGAGTAGCATTGATTAAGGTCCTATGTAACGCCAGCCAGAACGATAACCTTTTCTTCAAACGATTTTAGCTGTGATAAGAAAAAGTAGAATCAATATTTTTTAAGGTTCGTGTCTTTAAAATGCGAGACACAATCTATTTTCAGTTGTGTTGGACAACGTTTTTTTTAACTTACTCCATGTGCCATATACATATGTATAAAGGTTCAGTTTGTTATACATAATTCAATAACTATCCTCTCGTCTGGATCGCTCAGGGATCGCAGATACGTCATTATAGGGTCTTGGGATATATACAAATTAGACCTTATAATACTAATACTAAGGAGTTGAAAATCTATTGGCGTCTGCAACTAAAGCAATGCTTGAAAATATCATAATTAAAATGCAATTATTAGTATCATGAATATTAATTATAACATTATTGTAACAAATTACAGCGACTTCAACATGGTGGGTTCAAGAGGGCGAAGCACCCGGCGGCCACTAACACTGCCGGAACTTTCCGGACAACAGATGCACCGCTCTACCATCTATGCTAATAGTAAGTTAGGTTAATGGCTCTTCTGAACTATGTTTATGGGTTAACTCTGCAAGCGAGCAGACGGATTACCTGGTGGTAAGCAATTAGTGCCTCCCAAGGACACTCGTAATATCAAATGAGTTCTACAAGTGTATGCCGGCTTATGTAGGCAATTAAGGATACAAGGATAGGGATTGAAGATGGGAAGGGGGTAGAATTGGGCCTCCATCCAGTAACCACACTGACAGCGAAGCAATGAACATAAGTGTGGTTACACGCTGGTGTTCTGTGATGCTGTAGTATCGCTCCGGCTGTCGAACCGGCTATTGCATTGTACATGGCTCTCCCACACTTCTTTAAACATGTTTGATTACACTTTAGCTGAATTAAAAACTTAGAAGCACTTCAAACTCATAGCATTATTAAAGGTGCAATAATCGTCGTCACAAGCAAACTGTCTCTCTTTCCTCGAGTTTTTCAATATAATTCGCAATGTTGGTTATATCCGGGGTTGCGGGGTAAGCGCAATGAGGCACCGCGACCTCGGCCCAGAGCAGGAGAAGGAACAGTCGGATTTTTAGTCAGTAAGAGACTGACACTCCCTCCCGCTCGGCCCTGGGCGAGAGAAGTTATTTGATGATTTTACCCTCACAAAAAAATGTTGGCTAGGTATGATTATAGATATATATGATTTCTCTTATAGTAAGCTTACTAGAATTATCCAGTTTGGTACAATCCTATTGCGAAGAGATTAATAAAAAATACCAATTTTATTATGAATTTTAGATCATACTCGTGATCCGCGTCCGAGAGCCAATGGATACGACAAGAACAAAAAGCCGCCGGCCACTAACGGAGACGCTACCGCCACTACTACTAGCACCACCCCTAAGACTCCAGAAGAACCCTCAGGTATACCTTCCTTTTTTCGAAGAATTCATTAACTAGAGTACCTATTAAAATTATTTTAGGGGTCAGTCGGTTTGTAAGATAATTCCAAAAAAAGAATTAAAATTCTCTTTCAATAATCAACAATTCTTGTGACCCGAATATCCAAAAATCTTGATTTTATGCATACTAATATTATAAAGAGGAAAAATTTGTAGGTTTGTAAGTTTGTATGTAGGGGGTAATCGTTGAAACCGCTGGTCGGATAGCTACAATGTTCCTGAGTGCTATAGGCTATAAAACATCACGCTACGATTAAATGGAGCCGAGCAGCGGGTGAAACCGCGCGAGAATAGCTAGTTAGTATTATAAAAAAGTGAATGAGAGGATTTATTTATTAAGTTTCTTTTAAGGATTTTATCATGCACAGCAAGTTAATTAGTTCAAAACATTTCTAGATTTCTAAGTACTTTAAGTAAAATAATTCGAAAATAATTGGAAATCCTGAAATAAATTGTCTTTATAAATATTAAAGTGTTCTAAGTTTATATTTCATTTTATGTTGATATTCCAGAAAGCCGATTTAGATCAGTGAACGCGAGCGATTTATCGAAACACGAACATTTTAATATGAACTCAAAAGCCACGTATCCAGAGTTGAAAATAGTTGTGACAAAATTAATATCACACAGTCAGGGTGAGGAATGGCACGTTTTATTTCATTTGGTTTTGGTTACTGAAGTATGGCTATAGACAAACAGTCATTTAAAATTCTTTAAAAGATTTTCAACCTTACCTCTTACTAACCAGGTTGATAATCAATTGAAGATTTGTGAAGATTGAAGATATTGGGGTTTCTTATTATGTTATGTTGTTAATATTATATTAATTGAAAATGAAGAGCAAGTAGGTTTAATACTGTAAAAAGGCGTGTACATAATATTGCTTCTCATACGGTAGTTTCCTACTACAAGTCTAGTTTTATTCAAATATCAAAAACGATACTTTTTTAAGAAATTTATGTAACATAGTATTGTAGCGTCAAAATTTCGTAATAAAAAGCCAAATAAAAAATCGATTTATATATATAATAAAATTAGGTGTATCGACAGATCGACGAATAAAAAGTTATTTTTCAATATTGTATTGTATTGAAACGTCTAAGGCTGCAAATTTTTTAAGAGTCAGATAAATGAAGAGGAAATAGCTTCACTAAGAGGACTGGCCGACAGACTGACACTTTATATCTTTAAAATTTTGTTTGACGTTCAAAAGTGCCTGTATGGGTCTAATTTAAATAAAATATTTTGACTTTTAAATGTTACCTGAGGAATAAAATTGTTCCTGTCACTGTCTTACAAATACATTCTGACGCGACAGCATAATAATAATTCCCCAGACAGCTTTTATCTTTTATCTAACCATTAAAAATTCAGTCCCAATTAATTTATTTCGGACCTAGGAAACTACCCAATTGTAGTGTTAAAAAACATATTGGTTTGTGAAAAAATATCTTGTTTGAGTTTTGTTATCTGTGTAATTATCTAACAATAATAACTGGCTTGTTGTGCATGGGTACTAACTACTAACAATATTTAGAAAATGGTTTTTTATTTTTTACTAACGGCTTTTGTTTTTCTATTTAATTATAATATATGTTGGTCAATATCGGAATCGAGTTGGTTTCGAAGTGTTTCCTATTTTTTTTTAAACAATTTTCGGTGTTAAGTTTTTGAAAGTAGTAAATGTAAAGTTGAATTTAGGATGTATTTCAGAAATTGTTCAATACAACGAATTATGAAGTTGAATTCTAAGCATTTGGTCATATAATCCGTTGTTATAATATAATTCTTTTAATTAAAAAGTGGTAGCGGATAGTTCTATTTAAACAGGTCACTAATTGTGTATATAACGCTTTTTGAATAAGAACTAACGTAATGTTATTATTGCACACCAGATGGCGCTAATGTGGCGCAAGGTCTTTTTTATGAAAACAAGAAATGAAAAAAAAAATTTTAATCCTTCGTAACATTTTAAAAACCATGTAAAATGATGGACAATAAAATAAAAATTTATTGTGATCTTTATTTTCTGGTAAAAAACCTCCCACTGCGCTATTTAGGCGTCAATTTTTGTCCTTGCCGGTAGCCCTAATTAACTTAAGTTTTTTTTTGATCCAGTGAGCGGCGCCAGCACAGACGCGGGGCGCGGCCGCGCGCGCCGGCACCACCACCGCAAGCACGCACCCGACCACACGTAGGGGGGGGGGGGGGGCACACACACACACACACACACACACACGACCATCGCACTCGTATCGCTGCAGCCTCGCGGACACCGGCCACTCTGTCCAACCGTCGACCCTGTACTGGGTTCATTTATTATATAAAGGAAAAATTTGATTTAACGACAAAGTATTGATTAAGTTTACTTCTGAAGATTTAATGAGGATTGTCGCATGTGAATTAGCGCTAGTAAAGTCTAAACTCTATTGTTGAAATACAAAATTGGCTAATATCAAAACAAATAATACCCATTCAGTTTTAGATAGGTAACAACAGCAAACAGAACTTTACGCTACACTAGCTCCATCTAGTGAGTAAACGATAATCCTCATTATCTCTTCCTATGTGATACAAGTTAGTACATTACCTCCAGTGTTGCTATAATAAATAATTGGCTTGCGTTTACTTTGTCTTCATATTAGGCGAAATGTTATTGTTTTTAACGATAATTTATTCATTACTTTAACAACAAATTTTCAATCAAATACAGTTTTGTTCTATACTTGAATAGATAACAAAAATATGTATAATGCATAGACTCTAAAAACAAATCACATTCAAAGTTCGTGGCTAAGTATTTGACAAACAAAATAGATAGTAAATTTGTATATTATTATATATTAAAATAAACTAATATTTGAGTCGAATAATGGCGCGACATTATACGTTTGGAGACTAGACTGACAGATGTTTCAAAAATCGACGGTTGGGCTTCAAAGTCAAAGAATTCAATTATTATTATGATATAATCGTAATCGCCTTCTGTAACTGTAATATTATACTAACTTGTAGTAATCGTATAGCCTGGGACGACCGTGTTGATATTAGAGAGCCAACGTAATGTTGCACGATAATACACCTTACTGTACTAAACACAACGCTCATATTATTTCGTGCGCTCAACAAGGCTCAAAAATTTATTTAATTATCGGTCTTATTTCAATAGTAATACGACATAAACTTGTATGTATGCAAGGTATATCTCAAAATAGTCATGTAGCTTGTCTCTACGAGGCATACTTCAGTCCGTGTCATCTTAATAAATACTATTGTATGGGGTATTGATTGTGTATTCACTGATAAACATGTCAATGTCAATTAATATAGTGTCGTGACGTCACAATCTACGCTCATACAAACTTTACCAGGACCGCATCGTGCAACACTAGGTACGGACTCGCCCTTAGATTTTGCTCATTTGTGATTTAAAAGTGCAATTTTGTATATACATACATTACATACATACATACACTACAGTAAAGTTAGAGAAACTTAGTACTTATGAGCAATAATGCTACGTAATAGTTGCTTAGTGTAACGTCTCTTTCTTTTATTATGAAAATAAAAAGGATGCCAGACGGACATTGGCGAGTATGTAGAAGTTTTTCTTTATATTAGATATTGTACGTGCAATGTTTTTGCCTCTGGAGATTCAGAGATACCCGCGACTACTGCCATTAATTAGCATTTATTTTCCTCCGGGCCCGGACCACGTACGTCATAACAGTAACGGCATGTACTAAAATATAAAGACTACAATATTTTTAGCTGAATTTAGAGTTATTTAATATAGTCGAAATGGTCTGCGATTTTAATCATTTTTAATATTTAGATACAACAACGTTTTTTATATAGTTACGCAGTTGTCCGCCCGATTGCCATATAAGTGTGAGTGGTCATTGAGCTACGTGCCGAGTGACGTAGACCTATTAAATGCTATATTTGTAGCCTTATCCATATTAATCTAATTTATTAAATTAATAATACTTATTATTATTATATTTGAATATTATAATTATTGATATAATAATATATTTATTGCAAAATATTGACGTTTGTTTTCTTTACTCCTAGTTTCTGTAAATTGTATAATTGAACTTGAGTTTTTAGTGTCTTATCACTCGTTAAATGTCTTCTTCCACTCCTGGGTGGGGCGAGAGAGAGAGTGTCAGACTTACTGACTAAAAAAGTTGTACCGTAAAACTAGACTAAAAGTCTTTCTAATAAAGGCTATTAATAATTCTACACTGTTACACTGTTCTCACATAATTGAACCAACTGTTTGTAAAAGAAATTTGTATGTGAAACTGATTTAATAAGAGTAACCATGGAGTTTCTTTCTCGTTCTTCTCCATCGGAATCTACACTTTGGAACGAGCAAATAGCTTCACTAAGAGGACTGACCGACAGACTGACACTATATCTTCAAAATTTTTGTTTGACATTCAAAAGTGCCTGTAAAGGTCTAATTGGAATAAATGATTTTTGACTTTTGACTTTTTGACTTCTACACTTTAGATTTTGATGAACATTAAAAATACGAAAATATCAGTACAAAATGTTTAATGAAAATCATCTTAAAAGTAATTTGAACACCATATGTTCACTACAACACTTATAAGCGTTACCTAGCAACCATAACACAGATTCGTTTACTTGATCAGTCTCTAATAATTTCTTTAGAACATTCATCTTATCATTATCTACAAAATAACTTAGAAATTTGTTGAAAGTGTAAACACAGTTCATATTAGCTATTAGCCTAAACACATATACAATATTGGGGTCCTCAAGTGACTTTTCTGTACTCGCAGACATGAAATGTATTACTTTGGGAATAAATTCATCGACAATGAAGTATGATTGGAAGTTTGTCGTGAATTCGCAGTGGCATGAGAGTATAAAAAGCAGGTGAGCTGATATCGAGAGGCGTAACCTTGGCAGGATGGAGAGCATCTTGGTCACGTATTCCAATCTGTAAATAAATAATTGTGATATCAGTAATTATAAGGGAGTCTTGTTTGCTTGTTTGTTTGAACATGCTAATCTCTAAAACAACTGGTGCCAATTTAATAATTCTTGTTGTGTTGGATAGTCCATTTATGAAGGGAAGCTATACAATGTAAAACATCACGCTACCCCCAATACGAGCCGAGCAGCGGGTTAAACCGCACGGAAGTAGTAAGTAATGGAATTCGATCTCCCATGTTGGTCATAGGTTATTGAAGATTTCAGATAACACATAAACAAAGAATGAAGAAAAGTGTGTGGAGGTATATGTGACAGAGTCATGTAAGCATGGGTCGGCTCGACTAGAGTGATACCACGAGGCCGTGGTAAAAATGAATTTATTTTTGCAAATAGGACATAAAGCGGCACTTTTACACGTCAATTTATATGTGAAAAACTAGATGAAGCCAGCATCACTGAAAACCTGCGGGAGCAACACTTACGCTGTGTTTCGTCGTTTGAGTGAGAATAAAACTTAAATCCCTTATGACCCACAAGAGGAGGGTTAAGGGGAATAAATAATTGGGGATAAGGAATTTGGGAGGGGAAAGATTGGGCCTACGGTAACCTCACACACACGGCGAAACAACGCTGTCGTTGTTTACGGTCTTATGTGAAGCCTTCATTTCAAATAAAGTCTTCAATCTAATATACGAAATTCATCATCGCTTTCAACCTGTACTGAGTCACTGAGCAATTATTACCATGTTTGGTCAAGGCAGATTTAACTATTCTGACATACAGGAAACTTACAAAACAACAAACACTTACGGGAGGTTATCTTTGAGCTGGTTGCACAGGTGTACCAGGGCATACAGCACAGACTCCCTCAAGTCTTCATAGTTGCAGACCAGCAGGTGTGTCAGCCTCGCCACGCATCCTTGAGCCATCAGCACTTCACTGGCTTTCGGTCCTGAGCCCGCCAGGTTGCCTAGTGCCCAGGCACTTGATATCTGGAATTAAATGTGCAGGATTTTTTTAAATGTTGCATTTCTTAGCATGTTTTTAGTAAATACATTAAATGTGGAATTATTTTCTTATTATTTTAATGTAAATTGACTATACTACTCATTCTTTGAAATAACAGAATGGAGAGCAGCAAAACCCACTATGGCCGTCAATGATGTATAAAACTATAGATACGTTGTCGGCGCTCTAAAATGACAACATGAAATGAAGGCAATTGACAACATCGCGCTTAGTTACGCACCAACCTGCCGCGCGACGCTACGTTTGTTTTTAATTTATATCGTGTGTGTGTTTCGCACAGGTTTACACCTGTGCGAAACATAAAGAAAGCATGCCGTCGTGTGTGTTCAGACGATGTACAAATTATACTCCAAAAGTTAAAGACAAAAATGTGTCATTTTCATGCGTAAGTTCACCAAATAGGGGTCGCAAACCGGGATACCGAATTTCGAAAATACCGGAATACCGGGCCAAATTTAGGTCTAATTAATACCGGTATTCATTTCACAAAAACCGGATAATCGGTATTTTCGGTTTTAGTAAAATAAATAAAAAACAAATACAAATAGAAAAAGTTACGCGCCTTTTAATTCAAATTACGCCATTAGGTACAAGGCTCAACCAAAAATTTTATATAGTAATATTTTGATTACCTCTTTATAACTCAATTTGATTTGGACTGAATTTAATTTAAGCATTTTTATTATTTTGTTAATAAGAATATTATTTGATGATTAGTAAACCATCTAAAATTTAATTTTACGTTTGAGATTTTTTTATGTGTTTTTTTTTTGTTTTGTTGAATTTTATGTTTTATGAGATGTTTTTATGGTTTTTTTTGTTTTATTAGAAGTGTATTTTTTTGTTTTTTTTTTGTTTATGTTGAGACTGTTGAGAGATATTTAAGTTTGATAGACATTTTATTTTTAGAACTGATTCCTACTTCCTAGTCAAACACTACATTACATTTAATTAAAGTATTTGAACTAGTTAACCTAAGTTATTTTAATAAAGGAATAAAAGGGCATTCAGTATTAGCAAATTATTGCTAAGAACTAACTGAATGAGTAATTGATTACCAACATATCAAATAATAAACCTTGTGTCAATTTATTTATTTTATTTTTTTTATTTATTTATTTCATGCACAAAACACATTACAATCAAATATTATTAGTTTAAAAACTAAAGGTTTTGATCTAGATAGTAACTTAACAATATGTGCATACTGCAAAATCACAAGTTTTAAATATTAAAAAGGTCAAAAAGAGACAAAAAGAAACAAGAAGTAGAAACTAGAAAACATAAAGTGACGTGTGTCAACACTGTTGCCTCTCAACAAAAATATGGGTTGATTAAGATCCTTCAGGCACAGTTTCCCGGGCCTGAAGAATCCACACCAGATCGACAATGGAGATTGCCTTTTATATCTGAGATGAATTTATTAATGCTGTAATTAAATATGTCAGAAAGTTTGCGATAGCTCTTTGCCATTTCATTATATTGGCGAGCCATCCTGGTCAAAGGGTTATAGAAAGATATATTGTTTTTCTAAATTTGTAGAGCGAAGAGATTAATTTCGTTTGATCTACGGGCACTAAATTTAATGTTAAAACTTATGTGTGAGAGTAATTCAGGGGAATCTATAATAGAGTGGGTAATTTTATAAAGATAAACCAAGTCGAAAAATATGCGCCTTGTTTCTAATGGCTGAAAATTAAATTTTAGCAGTCTATCTGGATAACTTAATCTTGACCGGCCAGGTTTTATGCGGTAATTTAGGATTCTGAGGAATTTTCTCAATGAAATTATTTTTTATTTAGAAGATAAATTCATTTAGTTTGTACATGCTACTTACTTTTCGTCCGGAAACTGTACATGCTACTTACTTTTCGTCCGGAAACTAACTTTATAATACTAAATTTGCTTACTTTAGCTTAATCCCGGAAATATCGAAAATACCGGATTATCGGTATTGGTCTGAAGCCAATACCGAAAATACCGGTTTTGCTTAAATGATTCGGTATTGCGACCCCTATCACCAAACAACCTATTTTTATTTTATTTTTTACGACGCCGGCGCCCGCCATCTTATGAAAATGTAGTTTTACTATTACTTATCCTGTGATGTATATTTATCTCCCTCTAGCAAAGGCATTCCACTATACGATGTCATATTTTCTTTCCCTTTCTTTACTCGTAGAAGTAGTTATCTAGTATTTTCGCCGTTTTTAAGCGCCGCGATGTTGGTTCATGACGTGTCTATATATAATACGTCATTGATGGCCGTGATGCTATTTAACTGAACAAGTTTTTTTTTTTTTAATATCAGTTTGTAATGAACATTTACTCTGTAGTTGTTGTGTGTTTTTCTTGAATCTAATTAAGTATGTTAATAAATTTGACTAAGCAGCTGGTTGTTGGAGATTTTAGTTAGTGCAAGTTTCTTCTGGTTCTGCTACTTAGCTCAGTTTATAGCTACAGATCACAGTCTGAGTATACATATTAACTTAAATATGGTTTTTTTAATGGAACAGTAATAAATATGATGTGGTAGGTGGCAGAGCAACCAGTTGCTGTTCTACGATTCCCGCACGGGGCAACTCTTTATGTGATCTACAAATTGTAGTTGTGGGTCTGAGTAAAAAAATACATAGTAAGTGAGCCTATTGCCCTACGAGTACCAGGAACATTTATAAACTATATGTTATTACTGAGAATTTCTGATAAAGCATAATAATCCACAATTATACTTAGCCAAAATGGGAATTAAGTTGAGGTTTTTTTTTTATGTAATAGGTCGGCAAACGAGCAGACGGATTACCTGATGGTAAGCAATCAGCGCCGCCCATGGACACCCGTAACGGAGGAGTTACGAGTGCGTTGCCGACCTTTTAGGGATTAGGGATTTGGAGATTGGGAAGGGGAAGGATTGGGCCTCCGGTAACCTCACTCACACGGCGAAACACAACACTGTGGTTGTTTCACGCCGATTTACTGTGAGGCTGTGGTATCACTCCGGTCGAGCCGACCCATTCGTGCCGAAGCATGGCTCTCCCACACTTAGGTAGTCAATTCAATGACTACCTCAACTTAATCCCCATTAAATCTAAGACAGTCAAGGCTGTCAATTAATAAAATTTAATTCAGTAGTGAAATACATTTTCTTATACTTACAGCCAAATCAGCATTGAGACTATCAAGAGCTGCAATCAGGTATGGTCCAGCAGACTTAGCAACAGCCAGCCCAGCCTTGGCGTCTCCTAACCCTAGGTTACAACAGCAGCCTATAGCTTCATACTGCTTGTTCAGTCCATGACCTGGAAAATGTATTAAAACTTCAGTGATTACCTATGGTTTTAAAACTGCTTAAATTTGCCAATTATCAAATTCTTTATTGCACTAAGGTAGGGTTTGTAGGTACTTAACTGTAAAATCAAAATATTTTGTAAGTCTGTATGTACAGAAAAAAATACAAATAAAATAGAACAAATATCAACTGTAAAAAATATCAATTGGCTGCAGATTTTCCCAACCTGATACAATCATCAAGTTTTAGAGTTCCTCAAGAAAAGTAAGGGAAAACTTTTAAGGAGTATACTCCTTCATAAAACAGTCAATTTACCTGTTAGTCTTGTCTGGTGATGCAAGTGTATAATATGCGGAATGCAAACAATCAGGTACCTATATGTTTATAATAAGGTATGATGTCTGTTACAAAATACACAACAAAAAGCAAAAAGAAACTAATGTAGAGGGGTATGAATAAAATTCGCTTCAGCGTTAACTTAATTTTGAACAAGGTAATTTTTCAAAATAAGGTAAGAGCACTATATAGCCTAAGGTGATGCAGGTGCAAATGCAATAATGTCCCTGAGTAAGAGATGGAATTGGTGGTTTTTAGTTGGTAAGTACCTGATACTCCCACGTTTCTCACCCCCTTGGCAGAATTGGTTTTGATTGATTTTTCCCCACACAAAAAAACATAGAGAATGAAACTTTAAAGAATACATAGCCAATCTTACTTGATAGTTCCCGTACTATGCCTCGGAGAGCACCATGAGTATGTAATATTACTTCGATATTGGCTGCATCATCTATTAGAGAGTTCTTCAAAGCACGTAGCTCTGCTGCTGTCACAGCAGACTTAGTTTTCAGTTTATTTGCTAACTGTGTAACAGCATCGGGGTTCGGCCTGTAAAGGTTTATAACAAAAGTAAGCTTACAAAACTTCGCTTTGAACAGCACTTTGCTATTTACCATTCGCATTGAGAAAATAAATAAAATATTACAATAAGTTGAGTATCTTAATACATGTAGAAAAATAGTACTTTCACTGATAATATTAAAATCTTACCGCAAATTAGGCAAGGGTCGCTTCTCGTCTGTTACGGCGTCACGTTTCTGCCGTCTATTCATCAATAAAAGGTTACGACTCGACTCCCGTATGCCTTCAATAGCTTCTTCTTCTTCCATTTTAGTTACAGTAAAGGAGTATTCAGAGATATATCACACAGTAAAACTTAAATAAATTTTTAAAATAAATACATGATTATAACGTGGAGCGATGATATTTCACTGAGCTGAGAACAAAACAACTGACGTAGTGACGTCTGACTGACGTTTCGTGAGTTTGACAGTTTGACCATAGAAAAAATTAGGTACCGAGACGGTCAACAGAAAATAAAATACAAATAAAAAATAAAACCAATTTTCAAATGAATAGACACGAAGGCTTTTTGATATATTTATGAATATATTAATTCAATTATCTTAACTATAATATTATTAGCTATATCATCAGACATATTAAAAAACAGACAACACCGTTAATGCAGTCACTACTGAGTGTTTTATTTTATGTTTATTACCGGGTGTTGTCTGTTGTGTTTTGATCATTAATCAGTAAAGAATTCAACATTTAAGTCGGACAAAAAGCTGATAATATTAGTTATTTTTGATTAAGATTAAGACTAATAATTGATGCCCTGAGCAATCCACGCCGGTTGCTCTATCCGTACGTCAACAAGTCTTTAAACTTTTACCGCCTAAAAACCTTAGGTTTTTGTTTAATAAGATGACGAGATATAACGTAGGTAAGTACCTTAGACGTGGAGTAGGCAGTAGGTAGACAACAATAAAAACCAAAGCACTTTAATATTTAGATATTTATTGATAATTATGCATTGAATTCACGCAAGATAGTATTAACGTCTATTGTTTCAACATATCGGACTCTTTATATGTTCGATATGTTATATTATGTTAATCTTTGTATTACTTATATCGATAAATTATCGCCTTTCTTGTATCATCTTTGTCCTTTATTCATTATTTAATATTTTTAATTTTGGAAATGAACATTTCGCTGAACAATTTGTAATCATGCGGAAAAAATATAGGTACGCAGGCCGGTTTCCACATTAATGATCTAGTTAATTGTATGCATAGATAGTGCCTGCTGGCACAATCACTCAAAAAACAAAAGATTTGATTGACACAGATTTGTGAGAGCCCCAGACGGGTGGTCAGCGGTAAGGGGTGGTTTCGGATTGGCTGATCGCAATTCTGGTACATTCGAATTGCCGAATGCACTAGCATAGGTCGAACTCTATGTCAACTTAAAAATTTTCAAATTAGAACCTTAATTTGATTATACGTCACTACCTTTATATAGTGCTATAATTTTATAATAACTATCGTGAGACATACTAAATTAACCAAATTTCGCGGGTTACTCACGTGTAAATGTTGAGAAAAGCTCTACTAGTTTCGAACCACAGAGGGGTTTTTCCTCATGAGCAGCGTGCGCGGACGCGGCGACGTCGCGCAGTCTACTGACTGTGTGACTAGTAGGCTGCGCGAACATTTACACGTGAGTAACCCGCGAATTTTAGTTAATTTAGTGCTATAATTAGTTACTTTTTGGCATCGAATACAAATTTTGAGTGCTAAGGCGTTCTCAAGCGATTATTAAAAGTATTAATAGCATGGCAGAATTTATTGAAAACAACCTGAATTGCGTGAATCACAACGAGACAACGGGACGTATATATTATTATATATTTGTTTATGATATCGCGCAGCTAAATGTCGGCTTCGAGAGCTTTTCTTTGTTGGGTCATTAAAGTGTCTCATGAAAGTTACTATTCAAAAACAGCAGTATTTATAGTAAGTATATAGTATGTTGACTTTAAAGCAAATCTAATAAAACTGAGCGCAAATTTTACCAGGAATAGGGACGCATAAACGACCTGGTGGTAAGCATCGGAGCCTTCCATGGAAATCCGCAATACCAGAGGAGTTACGAGTGCGTTGCCAGCCTTTTCGAGATTAAAGTTCGTAGATTTAGGGATTGTTGGTTGTTTTCCGCCGGTTCTCTGTGATGCCATGCTATCACTCCAGTCGAGTTGACCCATTCGTGACGAAGCTCGTCAGCATTTTTATCTAATAAGACTAAATTACTTGACTTATTTGTTCAGAATAGCTAATAATGAGAAACTCGTACTTATCTCTTGGGATTTTCTTTACGTCATCAATATCGGCAACTAATCACATAGATTGATGGATTACCCAAGATTTGGTTCGAGTTGGCACAGTATCCAGTTGTAATGAGCCGTGAAATGGTTCTTGATTAAGTTTTAGAAAGCCCTAGTTTTTTTGGTCGTTGTCTGATGAATGTGGGCTTTCAGTTTTCTTGGCTGTTTAGCAATTTAGAGAGGAAATTCGCTTAATTGTAGATAATCACGATTGTTGCGAATTTCCGTTTTGGTAGGAACATTGATTATGGGAATTAATAAATGCTGTTCTGTAGGTGTATCCGGGTATTCTATTATTCAGGTATTATCTAATAACGACATTTTTAATTATGTAAGAAAAAATAGAAAAGTTGCATGTAGGTACACAAAAAACAAGACACACAAAATAGTTATAAATTTTATATTTTCATTACAAAAATGAACACTTTGGCTAGGTATTTAAGTCTATCTATTATAATATATCTAAGTCTAAGTATGTACAACATCCAAAACCAGTGAAAGGTTCTACAGAGTTTGAATGGAGCAAGTCAGAGTAATCAGCTCCGTGTATATTGTTAACATTCCACAATTCCTCACATATTCTGTATCATAAGAGAGTCTGTCCCAGAACACTTAAAATGCTGCTGAAGCTTTTTTTTTTAAGGAATAGGAGGCAAACGAGCAAACGGATCACCTGATGACAGCACCAAAGGATCACAGGCGCATTGCCTTAAGCTAGATGAAGTGCCAAATCCTGCCCCTGCACGTGGGCTATAGATCTGCATCTCCAGATATTGCTTCAAAATGAAGGCATTCAGAAGTCTATGTGCTCTTGAATAGAAATTTAATCATATCAGCAATGGAGCTGTTCCAAGAGATCAATATTAGCTGATAAACGTGAAAAACTACACACAAGATTTCATCCCGATTCAGGTTTTCTAACAAATCGAAGTTCTTTTGTCAAGGAACTGTAGAATCCTGGCAGTGGAAAGTCGTAGAGCTGCGTTGTCCTTATGAACTCGCTTACAGAGTCGGATAATAGTGTCTGCAAGTCGACCTGGTCTCCTAGGCTGCTGATCTTCTCGTGGATGTACTCTAAGAGACAGCAAACCCTGTTAAAATTGTTTATGTATTAGACTTTATTTAGAAGCGGTACGAATAGTACTCGTTCTGCAGAAGAGGGCTATTCGTATGAGAACCAGCCGAAAACAAATTTTATCTCTCGTAGATTTGAAGTCTGGCAAACTACGGGCTGAATAACGAGAAAGAACAATTAACATTCACGCCCGGTTTCCGAAAGGCTGACCAATGTTAAAATCAATTTAATCTCTTGTCAAGTCATCTGATTGGTTGACTGAATTATCAACAACCAATCAGATGACTTGACAAGAGATTTTACAGGAAATTAGTAAATTTTAGCGTTGACAAGCCTTTCAGAAACCGGGTGTCAAACTTGATCAAGTTACTAATGAGATTTATTTCAAGGGACATAGTGAATTGTTTGATAAGAGCAATAGACAGTGCAAGCTTTTTGGCGCGGCGTTAGCGCCTGCTCAATCAGCTCAGCAACATGTCACTACTACGGCGCACATAGCTATCGTTGTTTTTAAAACATTTTCTAAAACTACCTGTCGCGAATTGCTTTTTATATTAGCTTTTTATATTATATTCATTCACCGCTCAGTCTCCACACAGAACAGAAGCATTATTGTAATTTCCAAAATTTCACAGTATTACACGTTGTCACAGTTTACTAGGGTTTTATTTCTAAAACAAGTGAAGGAATACGACTCTCAAATGTCTCACAAGCAGACATAAATTGGCGACCGTGACAGGACTTGGACACGCAATCACATCAAATTTGCAAGTCACTACTCCCATAGTCAGGAGGACGTGCCTCATCAGGGATTGAAGACCGTCAGGAGCCGGCGGCTAAGCAGCAGCAAGACTTAGTCACGACCGCGGCAGCAATCTTCTACAGAGATAAGTGTCCTAATCCTTTTTTTCCTCATATCACATTAACCATTTCCTATTAATCATTATTTTATTGCCTTCACTTGTGTATTCAAGGTCACAAAGGGCAATCATCAACCTCTATTCATTACTCGTCAAGTATTTTTCGCATTTAAACGCAGATTAACTTCTTTCATTGTCGTAAAGTTGACCGGAGTCCAAAGGTCACTCCTGGTTACGCGTGTGCAAGTGGTTGCAAATTCAACATTGCCCACTTAATATCCACTTATTTGTTGCCTATTTACCATTTTAAACGATTATTAACTGAATTAATCCTATTTCAAGTAAAAATAACCGTTATTTATTGAGTTTTCGTTAATATTTAAAAACTTTCGAAACATAAACGGTTTCGATCTCATTAACTTGAAATTTTTGCAGTTTAGTTCACAGTCCAAGTAAATATCGTTAGGTAATTGTTCACAGTACAGTCATTTCTTGTTTTTCACCCGTTCTGCCGAAATTTCCAGGTCGGCGGAGGAATACGGCCTGCCAGTTCAGACGATCAGCTGTGGCTGTGCGGAACCGGTTTCTTCGTCGCAGGTGTCGCCGGGCTGACGGGAGTGAGATAAGACATCCATTGTTTTTGTTGTAAACAAGTGCAGCTAAGTGGACAAGTTTTATTGATAATTCAATTTTATAAATCATTAGCGTAACAATGACTTCTGAGTTAGATAAACATGATGCCATTAAATACAGGGAGTTAACTTTAAAACGTAGCTCGATTAAAGGCCAAATAACTAAATTTAAAAACTACATTTCAAGATTAGAGTCCGTACAATTGTCTAGCTTAGAACTCGTTGAGCTATCGTTGAAATTGAATAAATTTGAAGGTTTATCTTCTAAATTCGATGATCTTCAAAATGATATAGAAGTTTTAAATCACAAAAATTTGGATTCAGAGATTGATGAGCGTGATAACATCGAACAAGATTTTATTACATGTATAGCTACAGCTAAGAATTTAATTGAAGACGCGAACATCCAATCGGAAGTTCGTCGTAAGTCTTCAGCGTTTTCATGTAATCACCATCACAACTCTGATCCTATCGGGTTCAAGTTGCCACGCATAGAAGTTTCCAAATTTGACGGGGCATATTTTCGATGGCTTGAGTTTAGAGATACTTTTAGAGATTTGATACACAATAACGAACGTATTTCGGATATTCACAAGTTTCACTATTTAACGTCATACCTTGAAGGAGATGCGGCTCGTGTAATTTCAAATCTTGAGGTTTCGTCTTCCAATTACAAAGAGGCGTGGTCATTATTGTGTGAGCGATACGATAAAAAGAGGTTACTCATTAATTACCATTTATCGGAATTATTGAACATGAAACCGATAACTAGCGAGTCAGAACGTTCTTTACGATTTTTAGCTGATCATGTGACAAAGAACTTACGAGCACTGGCCAATTTGGGTCGACCCACCGACAAATGGGATGATATTATTGTTTTTATGATGTCTTCCAAATTAGATAGCAATAGTTTAATGAAGTGGGAAGAATTGTACAGTACATTTAATTCAGATGATGATGTTCCAACTTTGGCTCAGTTTCATAAGTTCTTGACAGACCGTGCTAGCATTTTAGAAGCAATGAATCGTAGTAAACTTGACAGTAGTAATAAAACACTTAAAGTCGTATCACGTAATCAGTTTAACACAAACTCACATAAACAACAGTCTCATTCACACAATAAACCACACAACGTTAGTTCCAACAATAAATACAATAACAGACCTCCTCATATTAACTCTTTTATTAGTAATCAGCAATCACAATCACAAAATAAAATTAATTGTGTTATTTGTAACGAATTCCACAGAATTTACTCATGTCCAACATTTAAAAATAAAACTGTTCAAGATAGATTGGCTGATGTTGAGCAATACAATTTGTGTGCTAATTGTTTGAGACAGGGCCATCAAGTTAGAGACTGTTCATTAGGTCCTTGTATTTTTAAAGGGTGCACAGAGCGCCATAATTCTCTTCTTCATCAATCACCGTCCACATCCGCACACTCTGCTGAGATATTGTCGACCTTCTCGGAGCCACAATCATTTCATGTATTTTTATCAACCATCGTCATTGAAGTGTCGAACCCGTTGACTAATCACACGGAGAAGGTGCGTGCTCTCTTAGACTGCGGCAGTCAATCTTCATTGATGACGAAGAACCTGAAACATAAATTAAAATTAGCCACAAATCAAACAAATGAAATAAATATAATAGGTATAGGCAACAATATATGTCATAAAGTTACAGAAACATGCAATATTAAAATAAATTCTTTGAACAATCCCTATAGTGTTACCTTGTCCTGTTTAGTGCTTGATGAACTGACAGCAGACTTACCTAGGTTTCCTATAGACATTAAACATATAGAATTACCCGACTACATGAAGTTGGCCGACCCAAGCTTTAACGTACCATCAAAGGCAGACGTTATTCTAGGGGCGGATATATTCTGGGATGTTGTAGGCACAGAGCAATATTCCCTTGGTCCCAAGTACCCGAAATTGATAAATTCAAAGTTTGGCTGGTTCATAGCTGGTCCCATGTTATCTAGTTGTTCTAAGTACATACAGTGTAATCATTTATGCAGTTCAAGTCAACAATATCAATCTGATTCAATTACAAATATTGATAAGAAGTTAACCAAGTTCTGGGAAATTGAAGAGCTTCCCCAAAGGACTAACCTTAGTTCAAGTGAAAGGTTATGTGAAGACCACTTCATCTCTAACACTACACGATTAGAGTCAGGTAGATTTTGCGTCAGGCTACCATTGCTTGATAGTCCTAATACTCTAGGCGATTCATATGATTTAGCCAAAAAACGTTTTCTTAATTTAGAAAAAAGATTTCGCAAAAATACTGAACTCAAAACACAATACACAGACTTTATTAATGAATACGCTGAATTAGGTCATTTGTCTCAATCATGTATCGCAAAACCTACCCCAGGTTATTTCTTATGTCATCACGCAGTATTCAAAGAAGGAAGTGAATCCACCAAAATTCGAGTTGTGTTCGACGGCTCGGCTCCCACCTCCTCTGGCCGCTCGCTTAACGACATTCTCATGGTAGGCCCTAACAAGCAAGATTCTCTTTTCTCTATTTTAATCAAGGCTAGACAATACAAATATTTGCTCACTGCCGATATTGAGAAAATGTTTCGGCAAGTGGCGTGTCATAAAGATGATCAAAACCTACAACTGATTTTATGGAGAGAAGACGAGTCGCAGCCAATCAATACGTACAAATTAAATACCGTGACTTACGGCACAGCAAGCGCGAGCTATTTAAGTACGCGGTGCCTGTGGCAAGTCGGCGAGGAATGTGGGGACGAGCTCATCAAATCTATCATACAAAATGATTTCTATGTTGATGATCTCATCACTGGATCAAATGACGAAGACGAGTTACGTCACATAAAAGATGCAGTATCAAGGGCATTAAATCTAGCCTGTTTTCCATTACGAAAATATAAAAGCAACTTAACTAGCATTTTACGTGATTTTAGTGATGTTCAAAAGGATAAATTAATCACTAGTGAATCGTCGAACACTCTCGGATTGGGATGGAGTCCTTCCAGTGATCAATTACACTTTCCCATAAAACCCTTGACAGTTTATGAAAAGTTGACAAAACGAATCATAATGTCAAATTCATTAAAAATATTCGACCCACTAGGGTTACTCAGTCCATGTATAATCATACCCAAAATGATGTTACAGAAATTATGGCTTCTCCGCCTTGGCTGGGACGAGCCTGTGTCTCAAGATATTCAGGAATCTTGGGATGAGTTTGTAAACAACTTACCTCATCTAGGTAATTTACAAATACCTCGACACGTTCTTTGTGAAAATGCAAAGGTAATCGAAATTCATTCTTTCAGTGATGCATCGCAAAGTGCCTATGGTGCCTGTATTTATATTAAATCTGTAAATGAAAACAATGATATTAGTGTTAAATTACTATGTTCAAAATCCAAAGTCACACCTTTAAAACCTATGACGATTCCTCGTTTAGAGCTCTGCGCCGCCCTGCTCGCTGCCAGACTGACCAAAGCAGTTTGCGATGCGATTAAATACAAACCTTCACGTGTAGTCCACTGGTGCGACAGCAGCGTAGTCCTTGCCTGGATCCACAGCGAACCTAGAAGTTTAAAAACTTTTGTAGCGAATCGAATAGGTGAAATAGTAGAACTAACACAACCATCATCATGGAGGTACGTACCTACCTTGGAAAACCCTGCTGATCACATTTCTAGGGGTGTCAACCCGAGTCAGCTCCCTAAGTTGAACTTATGGTGGTACGGCCCACAATTCTTATCTAAAGATGAATCATACTGGCCTATATTAAATTCAAATAATATAAACAAAGAAAACTTACCTGAAGTTAAAACTACTTTAAGCATCACTGTAGATGAACCAATAATCGATTTTACAAGATATTCTTCACTTACCAAACTTCAACGTATCATAGCTTTTGTAAAAAGATTTATTTACAACACAAAAAATCCAAATTTTAAGCACACTGAACTTTTAACTACCGATGAATTAAATCAATCTTTCAACAGTATTTGTTTCATAGCACAACAACAATCATTTTCAAACGAATATAAACTTTTAAAACAAAATAAACCTTTACACAGTAAATCTAAGATTTTATCGTTATCTCCGTTCATTGATAACAATAATTTGATCAGAGTTGGTGGGAGAATTCAAGCCTCAGACTTTCCACATGAAAAGAAGCATCAAGTACTTCTTGACTCATCTCACCCTCTAACTAAATTGTTCTTTCGACGAGAACACATTCGTCAGATGCACGCCGGGCCACAACTCTTGTTAGCTACAGTTAGGGAAACTATCTGGCCTATCAACGGTCGTCATCTGGCTCGTCGCACGGTACACAACTGTGTGACATGCCGGCGTTTCCAAGGTACGACCCTACAGCCCAAAATGGGGAATCTCCCAGCACAGCGTGTCACTGTCAGCTTTCCGTTCCTTTCTGTTGGTCTAGATTTTGCTGGTCCATTTTTTATCATCAATCGAAAGGGTCGGGGAGCAAGACTAACAAAATGTTATTTGTGCTTATTTATTTGTATGCGGTACAAGTGCATACATTTAGAGGCAGTAAGTGGCTTATCCAAGGATGATTTTATTCTGACTTTAAGACGGTTTATTGCACGACGTGGCAAGCCATCGGAAATATTCTCCGACAATGGCCGAAATTTTGTCGCAGCGGCTAAGGAGCTAGGCACATTTTTAAAAACCAATAAACACTTGCTTTCTGACTTCGCTGCACAAGAAGGTATACGTTTTAATTTCATTCCCGCTTACTCCCCTCACTTCGGCGGCATTTGGGAATCAGGCATTAAATCCGCCAAACATCATATAAAACGTGTCATAGGCAATCTTCATCTGACGTTTGAAGAATTGCAGACTTTATTTGCACAAGTGGAGGCGATACTAAACAGTCGTCCCTTGTGCCCAATGTCCTCCAATCCTAACGACTTCCTTTCCCTCTCTCCAGGACACTTTCTCATCGGGAGAGCGCTGACTGCGGTCCCATCACCCCTTCTCGAAGATGAGGATCCAAACAAGTTAAAGAGGTACCAAAGATTGGAGCAAGTTCGTCAACATTTTTGGCGTCGCTGGCAAGCTGAATATATCAACGAACTTCAAAGGCGACAGAAGTGGATGAAGGACACTCCGCAGCTCAAAGTGGATGACCTAGTCCTAATCAAGGAAGACCTACCACCTTTGTGTTGGCGACTCGGAAGAGTAACAAGGCTGTTTCCGGGACCCGATGGCGTGGTACGAGTGGCAGACGTAAGAACCGCAACGGGTTGCCTTCGACGAGCTTTAGTCCGCTTGTGCCCTCTTCCAAGTCAAGAAGAGCCTTAGTTGAAAGAGGAGCCTTTCAACGGGGGGAGTATGGCGCGGCGTTAGCGCCTGCTCAATCAGCTCAGCAACATGTCACTACTACGGCGCACATAGCTATCGTTGTTTTTAAAACATTTTCTAAAACTACCTGTCGCGAATTGCTTTTTATATTAGCTTTTTATATTATATTCATTCACCGCTCAGTCTCCACACAGAACAGAAGCATTATTGTAATTTCCAAAATTTCACAGTATTACACGTTGTCACAGTTTACTAGGGTTTTATTTCTAAAACAAGTGAAGGAATACGACTCTCAAATGTCTCACAAGCAGACACTTTTGTATATAACACAGAATAACACTATAAAAATTAACAGGATTGTAATTCGACTTACTTGGATGTTCTGCCGCTAATGTCTGGAGCCGATACAATGGGTACACATAGTCGAAACTCGAGGTTATCCTGCGGTAGTGTCGACCAGACTCGTGCACGGGGAATCACGTAGCAGCCTTCAGTCTACGAAAATAAAATTGTTGATGTAAAATAAAAGTAACAATAAACCTTGTAATGAGGACTATATAATAAGGGGCAAGGCTGTTATAGCCAAGCTAATTCGGCATTAATTCGGGTATCAATATCAATTCACATTCTGCACGTTCGGTTATTGATTAGTCATGAGGAGTATTTGTTATCAAGGTATATAACATTTATTGAGAACTGTGACTGTTACGGAACAGTAACAGAAAGAGTAGGTATCATATTTGACCTGTAACAACCCAGGTCTAAAAGCATTCTCTCAATTTTTTTAAATTGAGCTTCAGGTCTGTGTATAAAGTATTAGTTAGTCATGGATATTAAAATCAAACGCAATATTATGGATAAGATCAGAAATAAGGAACGGACACCTTTTTAAACACAGCAGCTAGCTTGCAACACCCTACGTAGGTTCCCATTATGGTTATAATGAACTCACTTGCACTATATAAATCTTCGGCTTGTCCTGCAGTGTAGGGGGCATCAAATCAGACATGTATCGCATCACTCCGAACTCAGATTTGGGCGTGTGACAAGTCTCCACTATACCGTCTCTCGTCTTCGGTAACATCATCACTGCTACACAGCCGTATTCTGTGAAGTCGCGCTGAAAGACTGGAATAGAAGCAGAGCATTTAATGACCGGATGGTGTCTTAGAGAGAATTCTTGGCCTCCCTATTACCACTACCTAAAAGTGCACTAAATATTTTTTAAATAGCTTTTGCCCGCGATTCCGTTCGCATGGAATAAAGACTTCCTGCAGATTTTTGGTATAAAAACTATCATATGTCCTTTCTCGAGTTCCAAATTATGTCTGTACCAAATTTCACAGAACTCGGTTTAGTAGTTTAGGCGTGAAGAAAATACAGAGTTACTTTCGTGTTTATAATATCAGTTTGGATATTACGCATCCATCCTCTTTCCATCAATCATGTTTGGAGACCCACGTTACAGAGCCCAGCAAACTTAGCTTAGAAAAACCAATTTCAGATTTCGCTATATAGCCGTGGAAGTCATCAAATTCCCAAAATAATACTTTAATACTTTGGACGACTTCAGAATAGAACTTGGACCGTTAGTCAAGTCAGAAAGTTCATTAATAGTTTTAAAGCAATGTATTATTAACTCACATCTTTCACAAGTGTTAGCAATTTCCTCATCGTTCAAATCCTTATAAATAGTGACTTCGAAATGGAATTTCTCAAAGGTATGCCTGATTTTTGCACTGACGTCGTCACTTTGAGATCCGTCTTCATCGTCAAATGAGATGCCAGCATCATCAGATGAATTTCCTTCAAATATCAACATAGCATTCTTGTTATACCTGTGAGAAGAAAATAGGTCTAATTAATATGTCAAGCAAACACTGTGAACTTAATTCCCTAGGCATTATCTATCAGTCTATGTTCAGGTGGTGCAGAAAGAACACAAGCTACAATAAGCTCTAATGTACTCACAGAGGGCTCATTGGCCGTAGCACGGGCACTAGATATAATAATAAAACTCTGGAGGTTTGTTTGTTACTCTTTCTCATAAGAACTACTGAGCAGGACTACTCGAATGAATGTACCAAAACACAGAAATAAGTTATAGTCTGGAATAACAAATACTTTTTACTTTTACTATGTGATGGGACGGCAAACGAACAGACGGAAACTTGATGGTAAGCAAGCGGCGCCACCCATGAACACCACAACATCAGAGAAGTTGCGAGTGCGTTGCCGATCTATTAGGGATAAGGGGTTTCGGAGATTTAGGGGTTGGGTAGGGATTGGGGGAGGGGAAGAAGGGCTGTACCTCTGGTAACCTCACTCATATAGTAATACACAACGCTGCGGTTATTTCACGCTAGGCTGTCTGCGTGTTTACGCCGGTCGAGCCAACCCGTTCGTACCAAGATATGGCTCTCCCAAACTTATTATTATAATAACATTAACGCCTACTATTTGCCAGTTGCATATTCGAGTTGCATATTCGTTATAGGATCCGAGCTTACCACAGACGTCCCTAACAATAGCTTTCTATTCTCCAATACTAAGTTAACCACTTCTATATAAACCAATACATAAATTGTTAACGTTTATAATAATAGTTTTTCTTCACCACAAGGCCATCAAATTAAAAGTCTTTGTGCTAGACCTGTCATCATCAATTACAACAATTTTAATAATCCTTTGATAAAGTGAGATAATACTTCTATCAAATCTAATGTCAACTTAATATGTCCTGTTTTGAAATTACAATGATTCACCTCTTGTTTCGTCAGGGCTCAAGTATCTGTCCTTACCAATATCAAATATGATGGACGTAAGTGAGAGTTTCGGATACTCGACTGTATTACATTCGGGTATCGAAGGGACCTTAAACCCCAGTAATGATGGTGTATTATTTAGTTTTATACATGATCCGCAATGCACAATGGATCATGTGTTGCAGATGAGCTTAGGTTTTTTTTTATTTTGAAGGGGAAATGACGTCACCTCGAACACCAAAAGGTTGGTTCCTCCCTGGGTCTGGCAAGAGGGATTGTAAGACTCTTTCTACCTCAAAACCATCCCCTTCCTTTTCTACATCATTGCGCTCTATATGTACTGTAACTTAATCACATGTGCATAACCTGGCATAGCCTTGCCATCTCATTTTTGCGTTGCCAACTCTCTAGAACTTACATTTGTATCAAACACAATTCAGCCGGGGTTATGGGGATAAGGGCAATAATGTAGGTACCGCGGCCTTAGTCTGATGCAGTAGAAGAAGCAGAATAGTTTTTAGTCATTAAGAGTCTGACGGGAGAGTCATGTCTTATGCCACTTAGGGTGAGAGAAGTCGTATGTTGATCTTCCATTCTCAATAGTTATAATAGAACTACTATTATTAACAGCTGTTTATACTATGATGATGAAATAATACTTATGCTTGCAGAGTAGACATTATCAGCTAATTAGTGTAAACACTAAATGAAGGGTAAACTTAGAGAAACTTGCGTAAACCGTGTATTCTAAATTAGACTAGTTTCAAGCCATGCTAGAGGCCCATATTTCTGAGCAGCATTCCGCGACACGCGACTCGGCGACTGTCGCGCTGCTACTGGCCTCTAGCATACCTTGAAACGAGTATCTCGTCAAATTATTATTTGAAGCCGAAAACAATAATTAATTTAGAATGTCTCACGAAAATTATAATAAAAAAAAACCGTGTATTAAATGATTTTTCGTATAAGATGTTTTATGTAACATGATGACAGTGAATTAACTCTCCCTACCTACCTGCCTTTACTATTATAGGAACTATAAGAGATTAGTTATCTCTCATTTACACAATTGCTTACCATTGGCAAAGTTGCTCACGTAGTTAAAGAAAAATATACTACAATCGTACTTCACCCTTCTGACTTCAGAAGTACAGAAACGAAAAAGTACAAAACCGCTCTGTGGTGACATAAGAGTGAGATAAACGATTTTTCGCTGTAATAATAACACTAAAGACAATAGCAGGAGAATAAGAACAATGTAAAACCAACCTGTCCAACTCATAAGAGTATCTTGCTCTTGTGGATATTCTCACTGGATCCGAGTCCTCTTGTAATTCCTCACTTACAGTCGGCTCGACGCTCCTGTCCTCCGGTCTTTCTGGCACATGAGTATTATTATCTTCTACCTTTTGATATTTTGCCCTATTATAAGGTAGGGCAGCAGTAACAAAACTATCTTCCACAGTGAATTTAACTTCGATTTCTTGCATTTTTGGCCCCATCGTTGCTACTAGCGAATACTGACTGACTGACTCACAGAATATTTTATTAGGACAATCTTATCATGTTATCGATGTGCGTCACTGATTACAGAAGCTATACGCCAATCAGAGATGTTTATATATTGTTGATCAGATACAAGTGATTATCGTTCACATAATGACAATGATAACATGCAAATCTAGAGCGTGTCGTACAAATTCCTTAGAAAGATATTCCAGTGTTGCGTTTTTATTTACATACCAGTAGAGACGTAGTGTTGTGGATTTGTTATCTTTGAAAATGCTACAAACCTAGTTGTAATAAAATGCACCTAAATGTGGGAGAGCCAAGCTTCGGCACGAATGGGTCGGCTTGACCGGAGTAATACCACGGCCTCACACAATACCGGCGTGAAACAACCCAGCGTAGTGTTTCGCCGTGTGAGTGAGGTTACCGGAAGCCCAATCACTCCCCTTCCCCTATCCCTTCCCGATCCTTTTATCCGCAACCAATGGCGATATAACCACGTGTATTCTCTTTGTCCGCAACCCATATCCCCAAAAGGCCGGCAACACACTCGTAACTCATTTGGTGTTGCGGGTGTCCATGGGCGGCGCCGATTGCTTACCATCAGGTAATCCGTCTGCTCGTTTGCCGACTTATACTATAAAAAAAATGTCTTACAGCAATGGTATTTGGCACATACCTTAAACCTATTGATTGAAATGAGTGGGGAGTTTTTGTGTCAAGGTTTGAACTGTAAGAAAGAGATATAATAACATCAAACTGTTTATTTCCGTAAATACGCGTTCTTAATATTTACGAACTTATTCAATTACAACTTTATAGTAATATGCACAGGAAGAGCAAGACAGTAGCGACAATATAATTACACATTATATTAATAAAAAACATTTAAGCTGATTTGCAACAACTAGATAGTATTTGAAACATTTATGATATGTATTTTATAAGTCATATTGCAGAGACACAACCCCCCATTTCCACTTTATAACACAAATGTTAATAACATAACAAAATTTATAACAATAATATTCAACTTTACTTAAACAATTTTATCACGTAAATAAGTAGAAATGAAGGGTTTCATGATTGATATAATTTCATTTGAAAATTCGATTAATTAATAAGTATTTACACTACATAGTTTTGTTTCTACTGTCCTGGCTCAAAGCTCTGCTCTGCACATATTAGTACATCACTTACCTAATATAATAACTTACGATATATATTTTATATATAAAACGATAAGCTTAACATTACATTACATTACATAAACGATTATATACAATAAACATCACTATTTGTCTTTTCTTTTATATTTACATTCATTATGTACATACGTGACTAGATTATGAAATTCATTATTAAGTAACAATTTTTTAAAAGGTTAATGTCTATTAACAATGTGTTATATTTATTTATATACATAAATACCCAAGTTTGAAGCGTATAGGTTTATTTATTTACATTTAAAAGCGTTTCTACTAATGTATTAATGTAATGTTATACTATAACAGGTTTTCTTTCTTTATATTTGCATGAGCAACTTTTCTTTTTGAAATTAACGTTGTTTTTCTGCGAGTATTCGAGGAGGGAGCGGGAGGAATGTCTTTGCTATAAGGTATCTGCCTTCTCATTGGTTACTGGCGTGGTGTTGGACTTGTCATTGGTTGGCTTAACGTTATTACATTGTTTGTTGTCCTCTTTTGTTGTATCTTCTTGCTTCTTCTCCTCGTTCTTTGGCTGGACTGTCTGTCCATTGAGGTGTTTGAATTCCGCTGGATCAGTTTGCGTCTCCTTGTCCGCTGTTGGCGGTTCTGAAATGGAAAGTAGATTATAAGGTATTATGTTTATGATATTGGGAAATAATTCATCAGAGGTAAGTAGCCAGGTACTCCAAAAAGATCAATAATTCGTTTTACTTGTAAGCTTGTAATGTTAATTACCTATAGTATTTATTCGAAGAAATATGCAGAGATTAAAAATAAATAATTAAACAGTTCAGTTACAATTCCAGAAATTCGATTCACATTTTAAATGAATACGTCATTAAAATTCTCACGTATTTCGAAACATTCATTTAAAGTCAGTACAATTTTAAATTAATTTAAAATGCTGCTGATTAATTATATTTACTTTTGACTGGTGGATGAGGCAGCGGGAGCGCCGGAGGCGGTTTTCTGCTGTACCGGACCGGCATAATGCTCTGCCGGACATTGCGCTCCGGCCGAATGAGGATTATATAGAGCTGGAACAATTTCAAACATTAATCAATCTGGCATGAACGCCCGGCATTCCGGGTCGAACCCGCTTCTAAAGCATGGGGGCGCGGATTGAAATATCAATGTGACTTATTCCGATTATATACTTTACTGTTTACATTATAAAAATTTCAAAAAATAACAGGCTTACAATTACACAGTGTACAATGGGTGGTCTTATCACTTAGGGTGATTTCTTCCAGACAACCTTTAGATGGGTATTTCAAAGAAACCTGGGAATAGGCAGTCTAGTATATCTTGATTAATTTACAATGTGCACTGTTTAAGTTTTTTTATACTCCAATGTCAAACAGTGAAGGAAAACATCACAAGGAGCCCTTAACTTTTGACTTTAATTTATAAGTTTGTAATCATCCTTGACTAAGCATGGCGATAAATGCTTAAACCCCAGTATCAGAATAGGCCTTTGGTCAGCTGTGTGCACTAATAGGCTGGTGATGATGATGATTCAATATGTACCTACTATTTAAGCCTTGTAGTGTGACGTCAGAGTACAATATATTTATCACTTAGTACTTTTTACAGGTGGCGTGAGAGACGGACTATTCTTTACTGTCAGGGCTTACCAATTAAGATACATACCTACAGACAGACAGAAGAATATGACAAACAGTACCTACTTAATAGTTAGTGTATGCTCTTATTAAAGGTAGGCACAGAATTCTTTTTAGACAGTTCAAGTACATTTTAGATTAACTTTTAGTCATGATACTTTTTAATTAATTGGATTATTTTTAAATATAATTCAGCTCAGCGTACGTGGTAGGTAATGTTTATGGACTCGCCTTTATTGTTTAGTTATATGTACTCCCTATATCTATGTATCTATATCCTACTAAAATTATGACCGTCAAAGTTTGTAAGTACAGATGGGTATTTGTTGCTCTTTTGAACGGATTTGAATGTTATTAGTTACTGTTATAGTCTGGAATAACACATAGGCGGAGAAGAAGCGAAGCGCATGACGGTAACTAAGTAGGTATCTACCTAATATTTTGGTGAAAGTACCTATATAGTGTTTTAATGTAGTGACTTGTGGTTATATTAGATGGGACAAGCGTGCCACAACCTCCCAAAACTCAGACGAGGCCCTAAAGGGCTGATGTTCAGCCGGGGTTGCGGGGTAAGCGCAAAAGCGCAATGAGGCACCGCGACCTCGGCCCAGAGCAGGAGAAGGAACAGGGGGTTTTTAGTCAGTAAGAGTCTGCCACTCCCTCCCGCCCAGCCCTGGGCGGGAGAAGTCATTTGATGATTTTCCCCTGACAAAAAAAAACCTCCCAAAACTGCTGCAACTCCTGAAAAACAGGACCTACAGTAGATACAACCATGAAAACACCGGAACGCTGAAGGTGACATGAATATCTTGGATCCCGCAACTAAATAAATCGCAACGAAAGATATTATTTGAGGGTAATAATCCCTTTTATTTAAATGATTTTTACTCCCCAAAAAACTAGTAGTCCAATAAAAAAATAGTTTTTTTTCATAACATAAACAAAACCCCAAAACACTCGATGGTTTAAAAATATTTGATAGAATAAATTCTATTCTATGGACGAAATATTTTTTTCTATCCATTCTAAAATACTTTGCTTCATAAAAATGCCATGCCGGAATGCTTTTTGTAAAAAGAAAAAAGAAAAATAAATTCACTTCACATTTTTCGATTGAATAACAGACATTAATTGAACACCATTTTATTATTTATTCATATAGAAAATGTTAAAAATTGTTTGCCTCCAGCGTTCGAAAGGTTAGTACAAAATAAAAAATATGCTTTACATTTTAATTAACAGTTGAATTTAATAAAACATATCTGATACATTGTTTTGTATTTATCTAAAGCATTATTTTGATCAGTTTTATTGTTTTTTTTTGTAGCACACAGGAGCACGATATCAAAATTGAAATAAAGCCTAAGTACGATTAGTAGGCCTAATTGTGCTCAATTTATTTCCTTGCCTGTTTAAAATGTCCGAAGTCTTAAGTTCACTCAAATTTATAGGGCCCACTTCTACTGAAGGTCATTCAATAGACATAAACTTGCCTTAGACAATAAAAGAAAGATCTCGGCCTTTATTTTATTTTGTTATTTCTTCCGAATTTAAGTAAGTTAATACTGAATCCGAGAAAAGTAAATTACTTACAAACTGCTTCCAGACATTCCGTTTTTGAATAGAATTTATTTAAATCTTGTAAAAACTTATCACCATACTATCATTGACAGTTTTCATTCACTAACAAATTATTCTTGTCAGGGCGTCTACTCTTATTCTACGAAAAACGAACTTTCGATCGAAACTTCGCGTGTTTCCTACCACAGTTTCAATTCGTTCCGAAATATCGTTCGAACGAAATTTTTTGACATTTAGAACCTACTCTAATCCTTATTAGCTCCGAACGAACTTTTGAATTTGACAGACGATTTTTCGGATTTTTAACTTCAAATTGACGAAACCAAAAGTGTTACCTTTTAATTTTCGTTTAGTGTGGATTTTGTATGAAAATTGTTTGAAATGGCTACAAGAATGCTCTAAATCGAAGCTCTTTTACGTGAAGAACGTGTAGAGCGTAGAAGGAACAACCGGCGCTACCTGCGCAATCTACTTAATATACCTAAGTCAAATTCCCGACTTAGAGTTTGTAGGACAGTCGCCTATTATTTTAGGAGCTACGAGAAACTAACTTTTGGAAAAGTTTTCAAACAAAAACTCATAAGTTGTATGTTATTGTTATGATATGTTTGCATGTAGGTACTCCGATTATTCGGAACGTGTTAGTTAGTTGGAAGGGGTAAAGAAACCAATTGCTGCGCTCGTCGCGGCACAAATATGTAAAAATGGGGAAGTAAATAAAATAACACTTTTGAAAAAAATACTGAGTTTTATTTCCTATGGTTCTGCACTTATAAAACAAAAATTAAAAAAATTATTAGGTATCATTTTAAACAACTTATTAGCATTTTATATAACATTAAAGAAATATCATTACTGTAACACATCCAAGAAGCATTATTTACAAAATAATGCTCAAAATAAAAATAAAAATAATTGAACATGAGTGTAATATGAATGGCTTTGTTTTAATTCTATTACATTTTTTTAAAAATTGTTTTAATTAACATTGCATACATTTTAATCAAATTCAACGACAGGTTTCTTTTCAAATGTAAATAATTGGACATTTAGCTTCGACTCGCTTTGTCACACAATTTTCTTCCACCACTACACAGTCAATATTAACGTACAGCCATATTATTATTCACATTAGTTCTTTGTTCTTCCACATCCCTCACATGTTTTCTAACACCAATTTTACCTTTTAGCACAGTCTGGGGTTGGAAAATTATTGTGTGTTTATAACACTCAAACCCTGTTTTTTTAATAATATCCATTTTTTATACAATTCAATATATACAATTCAATAAAATTCCTTTCACCACATATATTTATTGTCTTTTATAGTATATTTTATTAACTCGTACATTGATAAAAATAAACAATCTGTTGACATTAATTTTTTGACATATGTCGTGCGGTCCGAATACAGCCATTTTTGGTTGTCATACATAACAACCCTTTCTTGGCAAAAAATAGTACTCTTTAAATTAGTCGGTTATAAATGTCTGAAAAAGGTTTTTTATAAAGTAACGATGATAAATTACACGATAAATTACAATTCCGTCAAAAATAAATATATTTTTATTTTCTGCGTGGCATATTATAAGTAATAGTTTTACAAACCACATATATATTGTGGAATTTAAAGAAACAGCCAGAGAATTTGTAATTTTAACTTTAAGTAAAAACCGTAATTTACCACAAATCACATTAAAAAGAACCTACACAATTACATTCGTTCACGAAAATTATCTCTGGATCGAACTTCGTATGCGTGTCCGAAAATAAAACAGAGTAGGGTCGTCAACGTTCTTTCGTTCGAGTTTCGTTCGTTTCCGAAAGTTTCGTTTCGAAGAAAGAGAGTAGACCCCCAGGTTACAAAGACGTAATACCATTATCATTTGGAACAACCATATCGAAAAAATACATCACACAGAGTTGGCTTGAGCCCCAACGAGTCATAATTCAGAGCCGGGTCATTACAGCAACTGTTAAAAAAATATAAATTGGCGGGAAATGAAATGGTTGTGCTGTATGTTATCTGTGGTGACCCGTGACATACTCTGTGGTTACTGAAGCGCTACTGATGGTCGCTCAATGTCCCGTGAAGAGGTTGCTAACGTATCGACTTTGTATATATTTTTTGTTGATGTAAAATCTTTGTTAAGTTATACTTGAGCTTAACAAGAGTATTTTTAAAGGTCTGAAAAGTTATAGGAATATATAATAATAAAATAATGATAGGGTTAAAAGAATTTCATTTCATTGCGATGCGAGTAATTGTCATTATAAATAATCATCAAATTCCTTTTATTTCTTTTACCAATTCGGATGGGATGGAGTTGTTTGATGGGATGGATGAATTTTATTGACTTTAAACACCACGCTCCTTCTTCTGTTCTGAGTCGGGTTCGCGGTACATTATTGCGCTTATACTCACAACCCTGACTGGGCATTGGCCCTATTGGCACTAGTAGAATTAATCGGACTGTCTGGTTATAGTCAAGCTATCCTTGCCCACACATTGTTTAACTAGTAGATCGTCTTTTTGGTATGTGACGACATTAGACCAAATATTCTTCATAATATTGAAACCAGTAGTGTAACATAAACCATGTGGATGTACCATACCTTTGGACTAAACAGGCAGACGAGCGTGACGCTGGCGCTGAGCGAGATGGTGACGGCCATGCTGGTGACCCGCAGCGGCACATGGCTCGCCGTGCCGAAGTATAGAGGCACAAACGCTAACCAGATCACGCACGTCGTGTACATTGTGAACCCTGGAACGAAAGAAAAGGTATCAGTTAGAAAAGTATATTATTTGATAGAGGATTTTCGTTAATAATGTCATGTTGGGTTCAGTTGAAAACCAGCGTCAGGCGACGTAGTTGTCTGGAAATTTTGCTGAACTGGACCTATTTGGCGCAGGCGGGAGAGTATTCATTTTTTTCGTTATTATTTCATGTTTTGTTTATATGTGGTTTTCTATACTGTGTGTATCTGTGTGCCAAATTAATTCTTTCTTTCTTTGTAGTCGCAAAATGGACGATTGATGCAGAAGCTGAACGTATAACTCCATAAATAATTTATTTTTTTCTTACTGTGACATTGTATATTTTGTAAACCCATCTAAGGAAAAGCAGACAACTTTACCAAATCTGAATTTTTTTATGTCTTAAGTTTAATAATTGGCGATTGCACTTAAGTGATTAATATTAAGGTAATAATTATCTATGAGCCCACCGCTACAGGCATCATTGAGACCATAACATTAATTACTAAAACCTACAATTAGCATATTGCTGTCTACTGTTTACTAGTAGATAAGCCTTTAATGTCACATCACCAGAACTATAATTCTGTTGCTATAGCCACAATAATTGTATGAAATAAAATAATTTTAGACACTCATCACTTCAATACTTGTTGACTGACTGCAAGGGTTGGTCAATGTGGTTGGGCAACCAGCCCACCAGTTAACCAACAATTAAACACGTAACGTAATATATGTATTTTAAATCGTAATTCGTATACCTACATAATAGAAAATACATCATACAGCAGTCAAGTGAACAATGAAAAATAAAGTGTAAGTACTTAACATTGTGTTAGTAACTTAGCACCTAAAACGCAGGACAAAATTATATTGCAGAATATTTAAGAAAAAAAAAATGTAGTTAAGACAACCGCATAGAATGTCCATAATAAACTGTTCCTCGGCTTAGTTTGGACCTGCTTGCGTACCGAGGGATGGGCAGTAGACCTAACTGCAATCTCAAAGCCATCTGTGAAATGTAGGTTTTATGGCAACACCACTGATTTGACGGAATAAAAAAATATGTTGACATTATTAAGCATTCTCATAAACATATATTGTATAATTTATAACACATTTTTTGTATGTCGTCGATAGGTAATAGGTCAGCAAGCAAGCGGACGGATTACCTTATGGCAAAGGAGTTACGAGTTCGTTGCCGGCCGTTTAAGGAATAAGGATTCGAATATTTAAGAATTGGGTAGTTTCCTAGGTCAAAAATAAATTAATTCGACGTTTTAATACGATAAAATATTGAAAAATCACTATACTTTTATTCATCGATCGATCGATACACTAAGTTTTAGATATTTTTTAGCTAATTTTTTAAAAATAAGTAAGCTATTTGACGCAAAAATGTTATGACGTCATAATTCAATGTTTCATACAATTTTCATAGAAAAGTATCGTTTTTGACATTTGGATAAAAGTATTGAATTTGACTCGTTGGAAACAACCGTATTGGGCAGGGATGGGAGGGGAGTAAGGATTGAGCCTCCGGTAACGTCACACGGAAACACAACGCTATGGTCTTAGAATAATTACTTATTATTCTAAGACTGTGGTTGTTTCGCGCCGGATTTATGTTATTTTATGTCACCAATGTTTTTCTAGAATATTCAATTAAATCTTATTTACCTACCTCTCAAATCTATTGCATGGTTATGCTTTAATACTTTTGTTTTTTTTTCTGATCTAATTCAATTGCCAATCTAATGTACCGTTTAACTATGATCATTATTAAATTTAATTTATAATGTTTGTCCCAAGTCTAGGGACGTCTTCAGTCGAATGAAAAAATACAGATTGCTCAATTTATTATATTATTACATCCATAAAGATAGAATTAGTAATAGTATGATAGCTAACGAAGCCCGATTTATGTTTTTGACCTCCATCCTTGTGGAATAACTTATAACAATGTATTGTTAAATAAAATAATTTTGTTTCAATATCAAAATTAATTTTGTAAATCGAACGCCCAAATTAGTTAAGACTTGCGACAAAGTGGGGAAGTGTCATGAAGTCCACGAAGGGTGTGTACGTATTTCGCCGCGTGAATGAGTAACCGAAGGCCCAATCCTCCCCTGCCCTATCCTCAATCTACTCTTCATTAATCAATCACTCAAATTCCTTATGCTTAAAACACCAATAACTCACAAGAGGCCGGCAACGACAACGCTTGTTTCACTTGTTTTAATACGAGTGTCCTTAGGCCCAATTTTTTATCCACAAATCCCCTATACTTAAATCCCTAATAACCCATAAGGGGCTGGCATCGCACTCCTTTGGTATTACGACTGGGCCATACCTACCATGGGCACACTGATGCTTACCACCAGGTAATCCGACTGCTTGTTTGAAAGAACATTGTAAAATGTCATATAACATAGTAGGTACTAACCTATATGCTTGCTCTCATTGAAAGCCTCGGGGATCTTCCTGGTGAGAACAGCGTAGACAGTGCAGACTACAATGAGGACTATTGGGTAGAAGAAGGCTATCATATAGGAGGCGTCCACGTAGGAGTCGCAGACCAGCATGTTGTCCTCTCTCGTGGGATAGTGGAACATGGCCTTAGCTGGGGCCACTATCATCCATACTACCACTATCAGCACCTGGAGACAAAGAAAATGGAGGTAGGTATTTTTTAAATGGATTTTGCAGTGACTGAATTTTGATCTGCTATAAAATAATTTTAAATGACAATAGAAAATTAGTCATTAATTTGCCAGACTTCGTGGCAAGGTAAATAATGAGACTGTAGATGGTTAAGGTCTGTTTATTACTTTAATTGCTGGTGCTTATATACTAAGAAGATGCGTGAGATTTTCAGATTTAGCTATCCTAACAAACGTGCAACAATTAACATGTATGTCTTATCTCTATCGTATCTAAGTAATGTAGCGACGTGATAGTGCCGCTACATATACTCCCCCCTTTTAAAAATAATTAACATATAAATTGAAAAAAATTAGTATGTACCTAATTATATAATAACTTAACCTTGCTGATAAATTACATCCTATGCGTAATGTAATGTCATTGTTGCTAATTCGAAGGAAATAAAAACTGCTGCCTTTGTTGTGACGGCGGCGGCAGTCGATGAACTATCCACTGCATTTGTGCTGATTGTTTCTTGCTATTGTTTTCACTCTTCTGTCTAAGGTCTTCAGTATTCCGTAGAGAAGAAGGATGCCAATTGTGATGAGGATTTGTCCAATTGCAATGTTTCTCGTCCACCGTAGCTCTTCCAGGACAAGACTTTTGAGATGGTCGGCTTCATTTTGATTAAGGCAACTGTCGGAGTTATATACGATTTGATCTTTGGAGCTTTGGTTGCCCATTGTTCTCTCGTAGATACTGACGGTATATGATGGTATTTTCAAAATACGGTGAGTATTTAAATGGACTGATTACTTGTGTCAGCAAGTGACGAATCGTACTGTCGGCTTAACCGCCCGTCCTGACTTCGTGATGTACGTGTTCCGCCCGTTGTGATTATTTTCTGAATTTGGCACGTTCGTTCCACTATTGAAGACAAATGCAGGTTTTAATCGGTCTATAGATATTGCTTTTTCATTGTCCCCAATTTTAATGATAAACGTCTTATCTATCCTCTTTGTCACTAGAAATGGTCCTTCGTATGGTGGTGTTAAACTTTTCCTTATTCTGTCACAGCGCACGAATACATGTGAGCATTTGTTGAGCTCGGGGTGAATGAAAACTGTTTGTTTAATTTTCTTGCGTTTTGATGTTGATGTCATACGAGAAATGTCCTTTTGTATATTTGTGACAAATTCTTCGTATGTCGAAGGCTGTGACGATTCAAAAAATTCTCCGGGAAGCCTTATAGGTGCGCCATATATCATCTCTGCTGCACTATATCCTGTGTCCTCGCGTACACAACTTCGTAATCCAAGTAGAACTGAAGCAATTTCGTTCATCCAATTAGCATTAGATTCTCTTGATATTAGCGCCGCTTTTAAAGTTCTATGAAATCTCTCTATCATTCCATTTGATTGTGGGTGATAAGGCGTTGTTCTAATTTTGTGTACTCCTAAAAATTGTGAAAGTGATTCAAATATTCTTGATTCAAATTGTCGACCTTGATCCGTAGTAATGCGTAATGGGCATCCGAATCTTGCTATCCATCCCTCATACAGTATGCGCGCTACTGTTTCGGCTGTGATATCTTTAACGGGAAATACTTCCGGCCAAGAAGTACAACGATCTATCATTGTAATTAAATATCGCTTTCCTTGAGAAACAGGTAACGGTCCAACAATATCGATGTGTAGATGTTCAAAACGTTGAGATGGCATAAAGTTCCCGACAGGTGATATAGTGTGGCGTTGCACTTTTGATTTTTGACAAGCTAGGCACGATTTACACCATTCATTTATATCTTTATTCATACTTGTCCATAAATATCTTTGAGTTATCATTTTCCTAGTAGCTCTCTTCCCAGGATGACTCAGTCCATGCATGACATTAAAAATTTGTCTCCGAAATTTTTCTGGTAAATAGGGGCGATTTTTTCCTGTAGATATGTCACAGGCGATGACTTCAGTAGAACCCGGAACCTTGATATTTGAAAATTTTAAATTCTTGTTATTACGAAGTCGTAATAATTCTTGGTCATCATGCTGACATCTTGCTAAATCAGCATAATTAATCGGTGATGGCACATCAATTTGTTCTATCCGTGACAATGCGTCTGCTACAATATTGTCACGTCCTTCTATATGTTGAATGTTGGTACAATATTGTGAAATAAAATCCAGTTGTCGTATTCGCCGTGGCGTATCATTAGATGACGGTTTTTGGGAAAATGCGTAAGTCAAAGGTCGATGATCTGTAAAGATAGTAAATTCTCTTCCTTCGACTAACCTTTGAAAATGTTTGACTGCCATATATATTCCGAGCAACTCTCTGTCGAATGTCGAGTATTTTTGTTGAGTATCACTTAATTTCTTTGAAAAGAATCCTAATGGTTCCCAATTACGTCCTGACTTCTGCTGCAGAACTGCGCCAACACAGGTCGAACTGGCGTCCGTCATAAGTGCCAAAGGGGCGGTGCGAGAGGGGTGAACTGTTAATACTGCGTTCATTATATTTTCCTTGCATTTATCAAAAGCTTTTTCGGCCTCTGTTGTCCAAGAAATTGGAGAATTATCATTCTTTTTAGAGTCGTGCAGGTAGTTGTTTAAGATAGTTTGATATTCAGCGGCATGAGGGAGATTGTTTCTGTAAAAGTTGATCATTCCTAAAAATCTTCTTAGCTCCTTGATTGTCGTAGGTTTAGGAAATTCCATAATTGCTTTGTACTTTTCCTCCGTTGGTCGTATTCCTCGACGAGTTGTATGATAACCCAGAAAATCTATTTCACTCTTAAGAAAGTCACATTTTTCGAGATTAATTGTTAATCCATTTTCATGTAAACGTTTGAAAACCGTATCCAAATGTTGATAATGTAGAGCCTCGTTTTCAGATGCTATAAGACAATCGTCGACGAATATGAATACGAAATATTTAATGAAAAAGTATTTCTCTTTAAAAAAAAAAAAAACATACACACACACATAGAGTTGTTTCGTGTGGGAAACCCGCGACATATTGATCGGCAGCCAGTTGCCCAACCACCTCGCCAACCGCGCAGTCAAATGATAAAAGTGATACTAATCTAAATTGTGTTTGTATTGGTGAACACAAGAAGTCGAAGTCCATCATTAAAGAAACCTTTAGATAAAGTAAATGAAAAATTAAAAAAAAACTACTTACCTGTATGGATATGAGAGCAGCACAAATCGCCAGCTGAGAGCTCGGGGATATGAGGATAGGTCTCTTGGCGGAATGTTTGCTAGCGTTGAAGATCCTGGAAATCCTATTGGTCTTCGTCAGCAGAGCAGCATACACCACCGTGAAACAGAATCCTGTTCCAAACCTGTGAGCAAGATATATCACATTTAATGATATGAATTAGAATTTTGCAAAAACGTTCATTCCATCAACGATTTGCTTAAAAATAGTTTACAGTTTATAAAATGAGACTTCTCATGTTATAGGAGTTTTTTATTCTTTATCACCAGGCGGGTTGTTGTTGGAGAGATGATCTCCGGCCTCCGCAAGCGCGGGTCTCGGACCGCGAGTAAGGGTAGCCAGAACCAAACCCGAGCGTACGGCGCGTAGCGTTCGGCGCGCGCCTCAAAGAGCCAAAAGACCACCACAGACGGAGCCCTATAGGGCTGATGTTCAGCCCGGGTTCCGGATTAACCGCAATGAGTCACCGTGGTCTCGACCCAGAGCAGGAGAAGGAACGAGGTTTTTAGTTAGTAAGAGTCTGACACTCTCTCTCAACTCTTATAAAGTTGTTTGAAAAATATCACGAGAATGGGAGATAACTTTACTACTATATGCATATATCTCAACAATTAAGTTATTAAAATTCCACGTTGTAAGTTTCAAGATCTCTAATTAGGTCCGTCAATTTGAATCTTCCAGTTCACATCAGCAGACTAAACGGCACCCAGTTAGCAAGCAAATTCGCTTAGGTCATGCAACTAAACTGGTTTCGAAACTAGCGAATTCAAAGGGAAGTTTTGGTGGAAAATCTACAAGCAGATCCGCTTCGGGCGAGATCGGGACGTATCAGTTATCTTCGGACTTCCGAGCAGGAAATCGTGTCCGGCGACTGTCGAGATACGACGGAGTGTTCCGTTTTCTATCGTCCTTCCAATTTAGAAGTGCAACAGTATGAAATGAGAATGTCGGGTCGAAAATGGTTTGGAGCTATTTCCGACAGTTTTTGAATTTAAGTTTATTTTCACTATTGTACTTGATAAGTTGAAGAAAAGTGTAATAGCATGTACTAAGATTTTGAGTATTATTTAGTAAGAACGCCTTTTGGTGCCACCTGATCCTCAAACCAATTCACAAGTTGAAAGAAAATGTTCAAAATCGTTAAAACAAATCCTTTAATCTCAAAGGGTTTACAATCTCGGAAAACAATTAATATCATTATAAAGTAATTATAAATTCATTCAAACAACTTCAAGTGGATGCTAACTTTTTCATAAACTAAATAATTAATGGAAATACTTTTTAAATTGACAGTTTAAAAAGTTATATTTGAGATAAAAATGATAATTGGAAACTGGAAAGTATTCGAAAACTTAGTTCTTAATCTAATGAAAAAAATTAAAGATTTTTAGAAGTCCAATAAGTTTAATCTTTTACTTAAGACTTAAGCTCTCATAAAAGAAGTATTAATCGCTAACTCGACTCTCGTTGAATGTCACTAGAGATGTGTGTATAACTCACACTACCATAGAATATTCTCCAATGACACGTGCTTAGTCATTTAGTTATGACAGCGAAGTTGATTGGACTAAAGTAACATTTCTTTTTGTAAAAGAATTGTCGTGGGTGTGTTTACAAACATACAATTTCACATGCATATCACACCCAGATCCGGAACAACAATTTGTGGATCACATAAAGAGTTGTAGCACGTCAACTGTCCCGTCAAATTATTACTAGCACTTTTTTATGAACATAAAATCGAAAACACTCACTTTTATTAAGATAGCAGAATATATTTATATGTATTGTTTATTTGAAAAAAAAGCTTATACAATAAGTTTCTAAGTACATCCATCCATTTGTGTCTCATCATTCTCTGCCAGTCTATTACTAGTCACATAGACCAGATCAAGTGTGAGAGACCCATGCTTCGGCACGATCGGGGTCAGATCGACCGGAGTGATACCATGGGCTCACAGAAAACCGGCGTGAAACAATAACAGCGTTGTTTCGCCGTGTGATTCAGGTTATGAAGGTCCAATACCTTCCCCTCGACCATCCCTTCCCATTACTTAAATATCCGAAACCCTTATCCCCAATAGGCCGGCAATGCAATCGTAACTCCTTTGGTGTTGATTGTCCATGATTGCTTATCATCAAGCAATCCGTCTACTCGTTTGCGAACCTATCCCATAAAAAAAGAACATAATGCAAATAAAATATAAAGTCTGTTTTGTAATGTAGTTTGTGAAATACAGGGAAACACTACAAGAGTCACAGCAATATGTTGGAAAACCCACAAACAACAGCATAAAGGAACAAGCATACACTGCAGCCACAAAATGTTGATTCACTACTAAACAGACTTCAAATCCATTACAAAATCTCAACTAGACTTACACGATTCTTATAAACACTGCGTTCCAGTGTTGTTGTTAAAGGAAATTGTACTCTGCATCCTTGTCACAAGAACTGATACAGTGTAGAAGTCGAGAAAAGTGGTTCTTGAGAGCTTGCCAAATATAAACAGGCACCTGCATTTTGTTGCAAGCGATGTTCAGAATTTATTCGATTATCGGTATTTTCTTCTGTATTGTAAATTATGTACATATAAATTTTCTTACTATGAGTTTTTTCTGAGTGTCATACAGATTCTAGACGTCTTCAGACCAATTATTTACGGAACACAAAAGAATTTCGAAGTGAACCCACAACATGCAGACGGTTGTATTTATTTGTTAAATTCCAGGACAGTTTTTTGAAAAAACTACAAATCTAAAATTACCCTCCTTGATATAATATTTGGTGCCAACGCCGCCCACATTCAAATTAGACTTCAAAAAGCACTCGAACAGAATCGATATCGAGCATCGAATAATAATCGAGCCGAATGATTAGATTTCTTCCATCACTAGGTAAGCGATTCCGGTGCCAGCGACAGAATATCGGTTAGTACTTGGCCTTAATGTGGGGGAGAAACTTGAATTTATAACTCATGTGAAATATTATGTTAGCCCGAGTCTCTAGCCAAGTGATTTACCGAATATTTTAGTTTAATGTTTAAGTAAAATAAACTGCTATAAAGAATTGTAAAGTATGCTTCTTTGTGGTAGAGGTAATACTGGCTACTGGCATTATGTTAGACTAAAACAAGAATGTATGTTGACGTTACCAAATGTGTACCATTTATTTCAATCTAGATCCTTCTTCTGTTAGCGCAGGAAGGAAAGGCAAATGCTGTTGTTTTTGCTATGCAGTTAAGAAAGAGTTTTCTTACAAAATGTCAACAAATAACTACATTGAATCTAAAAACTTTGTGCAGATTTACGATAAGTTTGGTGGAGTTACCTCATATTTCTTCGTGTTTCATCTCAAACAATGGTAAGTTTTAGTCGACTTTAAAACTATCCACCTAGTTATATATTCTTCGTGGCTCTGGTGTCCAAACCGCCAGGGATATCACAAATTCACGTAGAATTTAAACTTCATACATTTCTCAAAGACTCTGTCTAGGGCCACGCGAACTTTTCGCCTTGTCTCCTATACTTCGTGGAAATGGATTTTTTCTACAATGTTTTTTTAGAATTTGATCAAGTTTGTATCTTGTCAAAATTATTTTTTTATAAAAGGCTTCAGAGAGATTTTGCGTATATGTTGTGATATTTAGGATTATACGATAATTGCAAACGATCATGCGATAGTTAGACTAAATTCGCAGCACGTTGTGAAGTCGACTTTTTAATGTTTTATGCTTTAATGGGATGTTCTGAGACAGTAGTTAGCTAAAGTCTTAAATGCCTTTACCTTTTAGGTACATTACATGAGAGTTAAATCTACTAATCTAGATTCTTTTCCTCATAATCTCGATCTGTTTGGACACAAAAAATTGCGAGAATTGTATACATTATGAAGTTTTATTTACTCCCATAAATCTAAGCACGCAATCATATTTTGTAACAGGTCATAATTCTGTGGAAAGCCAGCCATTCATATTTAGTTTATTGCTTCATTACATGTGGGGTTACGAGATTAGCGGTCTATGCCCACTGGCGTGTAGCAGACAGCATATCTCATTAGCAGACTACATTCTACTACATAATAAAATATATAGGATAGTTTATTCATTCATAGCGTTATTTAGTGCCTTATTATTTTCCAGCTTGGGTTGCTGATTCAAACGCAAGGATGTATTAGGACTGGGTTTGGTGCAAGAGATAGAACTGGGTGGTTTTTAGCCAGGAAGGGTCTTACTCTTTCTCAGCCTTTTAGTCTTCCAGCCTTCTTAGGCCTGGCTTGATGCATTAGAAGGGATGGAGTGGTTTTTAGCTAGGAAGTGCCTGTCTCTCTCCCTCGCCCCACCCAGAGAAAATATTGCATGCTTTTTCCTCCTCAAAAAAGTTTTGTTGTCTCATTTAAGTATAAAGTTTTTAGTCTGTAATTTTGAATCATTCCCTAAATGACTAAATCAGACCATTTTTGTTAGACACTTTAACCCGGTTTCTGAAAGGCTTGTCAACCCTAAAATTAACTAATCTCCTGTTAAATCTCTTGTCAAGCCATCTGATTGGTTGTTGATAATTCAGTCAACCAATCAGATGACTTGACCAGCGATTAAATTGATTTTAACATTGATCGGCCTTTCGGAAACCGGGTGTTAGAAGACAAATAAATACACGTCTTGACTGTTGTCTTAATTAAAAAATTATGATAAAAAAGTTCGAAACATAAAACTTTAAAAAGTTTCAAAGTGGAACGTTTGCCTGATCTCATCTTTTCCCGGAGAACGCACGGGGAAGTTTAATTAACTACTTATTTACTTTAAATATTACAGTCGTTACAAACTGTCTCACTTATTATTAAACATAATTATATATTAAATGGTGGTGGTTCGGTGGTGGTGCGGTGGGGCTGCGGGCGTCCACATAAGCCTCAGTTTCACATCATCAGCCTATAAGTGCCCACTGCTGAGCAAAGACCTCTTTTCACACGGAGAAGGTTTGAGCATTTATCACAACGCTTTATCGTGGCGGGTTGGCGATTTCAAACTTATAGTTGGAAATATAAGCCGAGGTGTCCTCACGATGTTTATCTTCATGCATTAGAAGTTGGCGCCATAACTAAAAAGCCCTCAGTTTACCTATTTTAAAATAAAAATGTAACATTGAATTTTACTATAAGTAAGTTTTTTCCTACAGTTTTAGTCTTAAAACAACGCTTAAAGTCTCTTTTGCGCAAACAAAAATGTCTAACGTGTAGTTTGCAATGTGAGTTCGCAAATACTTCTCCGTTTGTTTTCAGCCACACAGGTTTCATTTGGCACCGAATCGTTTGTGTACATTTCTGGAAAGAAATTTTGTGGTAGCAATATTTACATTACTAGGTATAGAGAGTGTTTAGTACGCAGAATAGAATACTGTTTATTCTAGTGTTCTTAATAAGGTCTGATGTAGCTAATACAAGGTTGGTCGTTGATCTCGTGATTACAAGAATGACTGACATCAAAGTAATTGACGATTTCACTTTTCTTATGTGATAGGTCGGCAAACGAGGAGATGGACTTCCTGATGGTAAATTATCGGCGTCACCAATGAACATCCGTAAGACCAGAGGAGTTCCGAGACCTTTTAGGGTAAAGGGAGGGGAAGGACTGCGTCTCCGTTAACTTTGCTCACACGGCGAAACACAATGCTATGGTCGTTTCACACTGGTTTTCTGAAAAGTCGTGGCATTACTCTGGTAAGCTACAGGAGCCATTTGAAACGAAGCTTGGTTGTCCCATCACACTGAAATTCACACCAAGATCATGTTTGATGTAATATTATACTTACCATAATAATTATACATTACTTTTTATAGACTTAAAATGAATATATTTACTATTCAAGAAAGGAAATGATGAAGAAAACTTACCTCTGTATAGAGCAGAGGATATCAGTCGGCCGGAAGACCAGCGCGAAGGTGACCAGGTAGCACATGAGGATCCCAGCCAGCAGAACGTAGGATAATTCTCTGCCACTGGCTCGGACAACTGGAGTCGAACTGTGACGGACCCACACACCGCAGACAAAACTGTTGAAGATAAGAAGTTTTTTAATTATAATGAAAATATTGTTGATTTTGTAGTCAGCATGGATTTCACATAAATAGCCCGTGATATCAGTGGACTATTATACTATAGGCCTCCTCCACATAAGAGATATGGTCCATAACTTCATCGCTTGCCTGGCGAATGCTGGCTGGCTTTGGAGAATTAAAACTTAAAAAGGTTCAGGGGTTTATGAGATGCTGGTACTGTCTCTGTCAACCGAGCAGTCCCTTAGTCTGTTCTTAGTGACAAATATACATATGTTTCTTCTGTCGTCACTATACCGCACATAAGGCATGCTTTAAGAGTTATAATAACATGGTTGTAATTGATTTATTAATTGCTTGTTTTACCTAAGAACTATGTGACCGGAGAATGACCCATTTCAATTGAAATCGGTAAGCCACCCCTGGACATATGTATGTATAGAAAACAAAAGCTCAATATTATGTGTTGCTTAAAAATCACAGAACTGATGTGAAACACCAAGGGTTTTGAAGATTATTTCAGATACCCACGGAATGATATTGAACATTGTATTACAAAAACAGATTACCAATCGTGGTACGAAAATCCAGAAAAAATATTCCATCAGACTTAGGTACACCGGGGTTATTATTTAAAATTATCTTATTCAAATCACGTAGCCTGTTTGAGATTGTATGGATCAATCATGGATTTATTCTTTCCGATTGCTTTCGACAATCATGAATACTAACTGTCATGAATTCTAACGAATTTATTATTTCCTATTTCCCCGGCTTCATCTTCCGTATCTTTAATTGTAATATTCTTTACTTATGCCGCTTCGGAATACCAAGCAGTCGCCAAATTCAAATTGGAATACATAATTAATATAGTCTGACGTAATTTAATATCTTCATTAACATTCATTTCTACTAGAACCGTTGCTATTGCTGCAGTAATCAATAATATAACATAACGTTACTTTTTGGTCTTGTCTCAAAAGAAACAGTTAAAAATATTCGGGTTTATATTTTAAATCTACGTGAAAGCTTCGAAATACTTCTGCAGTATCAATGAAACACTTGGTACAATTCCAATAAATTCTTAAAGCATTCCTATCTACAGAAATTTATTTGAAATTAAATAAGTTATTAATAAATTGTCGTAGACAGCTATGACTAAGTTAATCTCAATTTTAGTGCAACTGCGGTTTGCCAAACCAAACTTTATCTACAAACTAGGCGACAAATGAAACAGCTGACTGGTGTGAATGTTCAGAATGTTGAATGTAATAACAGCGTTCTAGTCAAGCTCTGCTGTTTAAATAAAACTCATTTGAAGCTGCAGAAATGTTCTCAAAATTTGTCATTTGATTCCACATTGTATCCTGTTTTGTTTTCAAAATTTCAGAAAAGCAAGTAGGGCTGTTTGAATGATTTTTGGCAAAATTTAACAATCACTGGTTGGACTATACAGGCATTACCTACTAATTAATCCTATTAAAATAATATTATAATAGATCAGATTATCCTTTCCGGTGTCAGATTAATTCGATTGTATTTTTAATGAACTATTAATTAGGTATTGTAATTGTTTTGTTGTGGTTACAAATTAGCTGACTGAAAACTGAAATTAGGTAAAATGTCAAGGCAACAAAAAGCCTTTATTTGAATAAAGCTGCATTTTCCACAGATTTAGTATAAAATTACGCTACTGCATACTTACGCGGTCAACAGGATTCCAACTGAAGAAAATGACATGGCACCAATGGCCCAGGCGGAATCAGGCCTCAGGTATGCTTCAGGGATGGGACGGCATTCAGTCTTGGTGGGGTTTGGCAGAGTGCCCCGGGGACACACTGTGCACTGAGTCTCCTCGATGGACCTTATCTGGGAATGCAAAATGGTAGTACAATAAACCGACATCAACTATGGTAACACTTCAAGTAAAATACACGTAAACAATGGATAGGTTGTTTTTTGGACAAGTCGTCTCGAATTTCAGCGCGCTACGGCTGTTTACTTAACCGGACTTATTCCTGCGGTGGCCTCTAAGCTAAGGCCCCAGCCAGGACAACAAAATATACAAAATGACCCCATCGCTGAGGACACCCCTTGCGGGGTTTGAACCTCGGCTTAGCGGTGCCTTTGTGGAGGGGCAGCGAGTTAACTTGATGGGTCGGATTATTAACGGGATTACTTTTGAAAAAGATTGTCAATAAGTATGTTAAGGTTGGAAGTTCTTCTGTAGTGGTATAAGACTGTTTTAAACATAATTAGTGGTCAATACCTCGTACTGCGTGCAGTTGAAGCAGTGCCAGCAACAGCTCTCGCCCTCCACATACTGCTTGGCCTGGCCCAGCTCGCACTCCGCGCTGCACACCGACTCCGGCGGGTGCCGCTCACCCCATTTAAACTGGATTTCTGATAGAAATAGTTGATAAGATAATTTTGAGTACACAATAAATAAATAAAAGGATATTTAAAATTCAGGGTTTGCGGATACTAGTGCAATAATGCACCTTGTATATAGTGCAAGAAAGACACGGGTGGGAGGTTTTGTTCAGTAAGAGTCTGACACTCCCTCTCGCTCCAAACCAGTGAGATAGAAGTAAGTCGATTTCTACTCAAAAACAGCAGTAAAAATCGCCTATGGAGCCATTTACGTAACTTATTAGGAAGAACAAGGGGATGAAACTTCCAAGCCAATTCTTCAAAATTAATTTACAATCCACTGAAACTTAAATCCATTTAAATTTTTGGCTCTTACCATCAATATCCAGTCTCAGTTCCCCATCCAGGTATTCTCCAACGTTGACCCATCGGTAGACTCCTCTCTTGATCTGCTTAAAGTGCAAGATATTGTACCGAGCTGGTCCGTCTCCATTGCTGTCGAAGTGGAACTGGTCTCCGGTCAGACCTTGGGAAAGAAAATATAATTTGTGAACTTCTGTAATGATCGTCTACTGTATTTTTTTATCCTGATGTAATGATTGCGCATTGTCTATCTTTCGATCATTATGCAAATAATAGGCGATTAACATAAATTATCTTTTAAAATACAATTTTATTTTAAGATTAATACGTCTTTTTAAACTTTTTTAAATATAATAGAGATAGGAAAAGAAATACTTTTTGTTCACTTATCACTACCATTCCCACCATATTTTTCCAAAGTGCTAGATGCAACTTTTATTATAACTTTCGTGAGACATTTTAAATTAATTATTATGTTTTCGGCTTACTCAAGTAATAATTTGACGAGATACTCGACTAGTTTCAAGCCATGCAGACCCATATTCTGCTCATGAATATGGGCCACTATTCGAGTATTTCGTCAAATTATTACGTGAGTAAGCCGAAAACATAATAATTAATGCTAGATGAAATTTTGGCAAATGGTGAGGTTTTGCAAATAGATCTTGAGAGGAGATTTGCATGTGAGGTCAGAATGATCATTAACTTCTTGCCTTAGTAAAACTAAAGTCTAAAGCAAGGGATGAATTATAATATTATATTCTTGCTACTCTTAAGAAGTACTTATAATTAATAAAAAAGAATATTGTTATGCACTCCCACGTTATTAGAGTAGATCTGAAATAAGTAACTGCCTTAAAAACCTAGTTTATAAATAATTAAATGAAGAAATTTTTAAAAACTAGGCTTTATGTAAAGAATTTGTCGTGTCTAGATTATATTAAAGTAGTTGTATATACTTTAATTTTTATTAAAAACGGTACTGAAGTAATTAGGCAGTTAACGTAATTATATTAGCTAACGTCAAATAAAGTAAAAAATTGGTTAGTTACAAATTTATGCTAAATAGCTGTGGTTCTTATAGTAAATTTTCATGGGAAACTTTTCACATTGCACTTTTTTAAATATTTTTAAAGGGATGTATATTATTTCATGTCTTTGTACATTATTTAATTAGCACTGCTGCAGCTTGACCTAGCAGCTCAAGGGTTTAGCTTGCTTTCAGTCTACCTTAATTTAAAAACTATAAAGATTTTTTGAACTGCAACATTCCTCCAGATGCATTGTTATATCCTGTGGTTATATCAGTGAAATTGTGAAAAAAAAACACTTCAAATTCTCAAAAGTGTAACGATAGCACTTCTTGTTTGGTCTTTTCTATATGAATTTACACTTTAGAACGAGTTATTAGCTTCATTGACGGATATGCTGTTAGACTATTCTGCTGTTCAAATTTCAAAAGTGCCTGTATGGATTGATTGAAATAAGTACTTCGACCTTGAATAGTTGTCAAGAAAAGATTGTCCAGTAACCTTGCTAAGGATCGTTCTAAAATGCTTTCTTCTATTTTCTCCTATTAAACACTAACACATCACAGATTTGATAGTTTCTGCATATATATGTTAACGGAAATGTATGTAATCCGTCATTGTATACAATTCCTAGGAAATTTATATAATTCCTAAATTTGCTCGGAAATGTGTGTTATAAAATTTATTTCATTTATCATATTTCACGTATTAACATTTAAATGTGTGTTAGTAAATCTATACATTTCCTAAATAGTTAACGGAAATGTATTACTTTGAAGATGTCCATTCGTAGCGTTTATACGGCGTATTACTGTTTAACTGACCGACTGATTAGTCACCAAATGATAGAGCTTTTTGAGAAAATATAAGTAGTTTTTGTGCTAGATGGGCCTTAAAGTTTAATAAATAGTTTTGTTTTTGTAGCTTAGTTAGTAAGCCGGAAGAAGATATTATATTTTACGATGTGATTGTTACCTAATTGTTTCAACCGGAGTCTTAATAATAAATCTGTTTCTAAGTTTAACAACGTGTTTTATTAATTTTATTCATAGAAAGTATGGTTTTATACATTTCCTAATACGATATAGGAATTTTATACAATTTCTAGGAAATGTATACATTTCCCAGGATATGTGTGTATTAAATAATGTTTGGAACAATATTTTACACATTTCCTATATAGCTTCGGAATTGTATACATTTCTTAGTAATTTTATATAATTCCTAGGTTTCATACATTTCCGGTAACATATACACTATAAGTAAGGTTTCAATGTAAGTATTTGATAATGTGTTTATATAAACAATAACGAAGAGAATTTAGCATATTATTGGCAGCCGGCTGCACCGGCTGTGTTGCCGGATCTTCAACGGGATGTGGAACATTTGCTTATATATATTTTCAGACTATTTCAAAACCAATATCAAACTTTCTTCTCCGTTTATTTTATGTTATGTTTGCCTGAAAGTTTTTCTTGTCTACGGAAAGTTAGTAAGTTCTGGTATGGTAGAATAGTAAAACTTTGAAAGAGGTCATTCTTTTACCTATGTTAAAATAGTACTATTACATTGATTTTGAGAAAATACTGACTTTAAATGTATCTTATACATGTTTCGTACCTATACAGCGCAACGATTATAATTAATCTATTAATTATGTAATAACTATTCTATGAAATCACCTAGCTAGCTTCAGCCACAACAGGGCTTACGATCATGCCCAGTAGGTATGCGTGAGAAGACGAAGCGGTGCGGCGTACGCGTTGCCGCCAATTATTTAGGTATTTTAGGTAGGTAAATAATTATAGGTAGTATTCTTATTGTTGAGTAGTATGGTACTCACCTACGAAGTTGACCTTACGAAGGTACCGCAGCAAGTCAGCTCCGCTAGCAGGCCTCATGGCATCACATAATCCCGGCCGACCCCCACAGACCGCAGCGTGCATGTCCCTGACAACAATAAAACAAAAGAATACGTAAATACATGGGTGTAACAATAAACTTGATCTATTAACTACATACAATATGTTAAAACGTATTTATACTGAACTAGCTTTTGCCCGCGACTTTGTTCGCGTGGAACAGTAACTTCCTGCAGGTGTTTGGTTTAAAAACTTTCCTATGTCCTTTCTCGAGTTCCAAACCTTGTCTGTACCAAATTTACACAAATAGGTTCGGTAGTTTAGGCGTGAAGAATAGACAGACAGCCAGAGTTACTTTCGCATTTATTATATTAGTTTGGATAAACAACGGACGCGTTTACAATCATAGTTAAAAGTTACACTAAAACTCGAAACGACAATCTGTTGATTACACAAAAGTCAAATCGAATCCACTATACGTTTTTTGTTTTGTTCCTAAGCCACTGCGCCAACCGTGCAGTGAATTGAAGTCACTTGGCTAAGATGCAACAAAATGAAAAGTAAAAACAAATTACTTCATGTAAACCATATACAGTACTTACGTACTTAAGAAACTTGAACTAGAAAGTTCAAGTGTGGGAGAGCCATGCTTCGGCACGAATGGGTCGGCTCGACTGGAGTGATACCACGGCCTCAAAGAAGACCGGCGTGAAACAATCACAGCGTTGTGTTTCGCTGTGTGAGTGAGGTTACCGGAGGCCCAATCCTTTCCCGCCCCCAATCCCTCCTCAATCCTTAAATCTCCAAATCCCTAATCCCTAAAAGGTCGGCAACGCTCTCGTAAATCCTCCGTTGCGGGTGTCCATGGGCGGCGCTGATTGCTTACCATCAGGTAATCCGTCTGCTCGTTTGCCGACCAATTACATAAAAAAAAGAAATAGAATAAAATAGTCCACCCCATCGGTCTGTACGTCAATAAAGCTACGTGCTCGTTCCACTATGTAGATTTGAATGGAGTTCAATGTATATGGAGTTCGATCTTCACGCTTTAATTAATTCTCAAGTTATTGTTTCAACTCTGGGATGGATGTGTATGCGAAAAAGTTATAGCAAATAAACAAGGTAAGTACTAAAAGCGCGATAAAAAGAAAACAAGCCAAATTAAAAAAAAAATGAGGACTTTTACGATTCCTAACTTAAAAGCGACATGATTCTGATTTGCCTTTGTCCCGAAGAACAGAACAATAAAAAATAAATTGTAAGGTTGTTTGGTTATTTTCATTTCTGAAGTCTAAATATCTTTATAACGTTTACGCACGCTATGCAATTTAACTTTGCAAGTCAGTTTTTATTGCACCAATGAAGATAGATTAGATTCTACTGATACTTATTATTTGATAACTCGCAAACAACTCAGTTTTAGCATCTTGACAATTATATCAAGATTAAAACTGTTTTGCTTGTTATCATATCTTTTCGTTGTGGTAGTCCAGGGGTCAAGGCGCCCGCTTCACGTGCTGGAAAGTGAGGTATCGAAACCTGGCAAGTACCAATATGTCCTTTTCCAAGTTATTTTATTATTATTATTTTTAATGTAGTAGGTCGGCAAACGAGTATAACGGATTACCTGATGGTAAGCAATCAGCGCCGCCCATGGACACTCGCAACGGAGGAGTTACGAGTGCGTTGCCGACCTTTTAGGGATTAGGGATTTGGAGATTTAGGGATTGAGGAGGGATTAGGGGAGGGGAAGGATTGGGCCTCCGGTAACCTCACTCACACGGTGAAACACAACGCTGTGGTTATTTCACGCCGGTTTTCTGTGAGGCCGTGGTATCACTCCGGTCGAGCCGACCCATTCGTGCCGAAGCATGGCTCTCCCACACTTAAAATATATGTACTGTCTAAGATTATTTAGACACTACTGACATACGGTGAAGGAAAACGTCGTGAGCAAATCTGGACTTGTATAATAATCTTAACTTAATAAACTAAGTACCTAATAGTTTGTAATCGCTAAACCGCCTTCAGCAAGCGTGGTGATAAATGCTCAAATCTTCTCCTTGTGAGAAGGATTGGAAGGACTTTTCTCAGCCGTAGGCATTTATAAGCTGATGACATGATGTGATGTGAATATTTCCCTAAAATCCAATTCAGATTTAGAGATAGTTCGACCTACATTCAAGTATCAACTCACAATACATTTCATCTTTGTCAATCGACGAAAACGGATCATTTTAAAAAGAGTCTGCATATTCTAAACTCTTCAATTGAATATCCATATTCATTTCTTCTGCTGACAATCTAGAATATCCAGCTCTTCAAAGGTAGTGTACGACGAAATGGGAGCACTTTGTATGGGCTGAATGCATCGAGGGCGGACACATAATGCGCTCTTTAAAAACTGCATTCGAAAAACCAGAGCGCCCCACAGTTTTGTTAAGATGGCTCATTTTCGCGTGTACCTGA